CATATGGCTCATCGCATCCGTCCAAACCCTCTCTCCTCGGATACATCATACAGGATGCTGCCTCCGGGCTCAGTAACAGCGAGAGTGTTCCTGGCCGATGCTTCCGCCGATCCCAGATACTCAGGACACGAGACTCAGGTCGCCGCAGCACACTTGCATACTTTCCCTCGCACACGCTCACCTATTCACAAATCTGCCACACAGCGCCACAGCCATCGTGGTTTTGGCGGCAGGGCGGTAGTGCGGTTTCCGGGACAAAGATTCCTTCTCTGGGCCTACTTTGCATCAGATATGTCAGCAAAGAGTTCGCAACAAATTATACACGCAAGATGCTAGGGACACCCCAGCCGCTCTTATTTGACGATACGTGCTACAAGGCTACAAGACTAACGCTAATATGTTCTAGCACTTGGGGCACAAGCTGGTGACTTCTCCAGGCCATTGCACTGGCTCTGGGATCTCCAGAGTGATGGCTTGGTGGCCAGATGATGGCCTGCTCAGCAAACCATCCATTCTTAGTCGTTCCATCCCCGCCGGCCGGCTCGATGACTTCGACACGGCCAAAAGCCCCGACATCCAGTGCCCAAATCGACAACACCCCCCGACCTGAGTTGCAAGGAGCTTGTGGTCACATCCTTGGGCACGGACAGACTTTACTTTAGATATTCCTTTCAACAGTACTATCTAGGTTCCAAATGCCTTGAAGTGCTCCGATTATCGCTAAAATTAAAAGAAGTAAAAATGGCGATGCCAAGTCGGCCCTCTCACCGTTCGTGAATATGGACACTTCGGCCTACACGGCGGAAAACACGGAGGCCCGAGACCAGTCCCTGATCCCTGGCCGACCCTCCCTGCCGATGACAAGTACAAACCGGACATGGAGTATCGGGACCTCTGGGTAACGAAACTAACTACAGATACAGTGTTCTGGATACTTCAAACACGCCCCTACCATCCTGGAAGGCTTGAAAATACTAACCAATAGGGGTTCAATGTTCAATCGCTTCGCGCCGGCTCTCAATCGTTATTACATGCTCTGCCTCGCGAGGAAAAAATAATCTTGCGACTCCAGCTCAGCCAAGTCGTTGTCGTGAATAACTGGCGCGCCTACGGATACATTGGGAAGCGGTATGGGTGTAACAGAAGGCTGGAAACACCACACGCCATCAGCCTATTACTTTCTCTTCGGATGGTTCTGGCAAAGAGGCGGCTTCTTTCAACGTGTCGAGAAGTTCAAAGTCAGAGATGCATCTGTTCTAAAAACAATGTCCTCAGACTGACCCTTCGGTTTCTACGACTCGAATACCGTTCATTTTCAGCGCTTACACGTAAAAAAAACCACCATCCCCATCATTTTTGACAGACGAGGAGCAACAAACACTCGTCTGGGAGATGAAAATCGGGTTTCATCCATCATCCGCTCGTTATAGGAGCTTCTAAGGACCCTAGTGTTTGTCCAAGTTTTCCAACCCCGAGCCAGGTCGGGGTAACATGTCCAGACGCTCGCTGCCAGCAGACAAACGGATACATCCTTGACCGAAAGTTGAAGCGAAGATAATGACAAGAGGACTGCCCGTCAACTTTCATACACTGTCCCGAATGCGACTCCTCAAAGCCTCGTATCCGTCCCACGCCGCTAAATTGATGCTGATATTCATCAAGCCATCAAGCCCGCCATATAAATTGAATGGAAAGGGTAGGTGGTTGCTGACGTTCCGCAAGCCAGACGATGGTGTACCCAATATGGGGTAAATGGTCAGACTGCAGAACCCAGTTGTGTCGTGATCCCAGCTAGGGTAGTGGGCAAGGCGACATGTGGTCTGCAACCTTTTCACCTGCCAAACCTTCTATTGAGACACTCAAGGCGTCCATCAAACAGTCACTTTTGTTTCCACCGATCGACCGACCGAGCATCACACCAGAAGGGCTGAGCTAGCCGAAAGACAAGCCACATGGCGGCCGCCGCAGGCAGCGTAACGCTGTCACCGCTGTATAAATCTTCGATACGGAAGGCCAAAGAAATCAGATGCAGATTCCCTTGCTTGACGCCGCATGGTCCACTGGTGCCCTGAAGACCGTCCTCATGAAGCCAGAGAAGCGGAAGAATAGAACCAGACTTAACTGCCAGCCCTCAAGAACCTGATGCGCTAGCTATCCGGTCGATACCTTCTCGTATCCTTGTTCGCGGCATACCTTCGAGGTTGTCCTACAAGTCATAGACAGGAAGTGTGGCTTGGGCCACCACTTGTCCCATCGTGCGGGAAGTGTCTTCTCGCTACCCGTACAGCTCAAGGATGCTTCCCTTTCGACAAAACGGAAGCAAAGGTCTACAGCCACACCCACCTCGATTAGAGACAGGGAATAATTGGCCTCCGCATTGGTTTGTGTGCGTGGTGCAAATGAAGGATGGCTGGTCAAGGCTTTCCTTTCATCTGCATCGTGTTTTTCACTCTGGCCCAAAGCTGCGTTCCAGAGGGTGAGGCATTATCTTTTCCCGCTATCTGTCGGTGCGATTACTCCTGGAAAGTGGAATTACTTGATGTTGATTAGCACACAATATGGAAGCCTGCTCCAGGCTCTTCTTTTCTAACACATAAAGTAGCCTTGGCATCTACAGCCAAGCAAGAGGCCAATTTCTTGGACAAGGAACATATTTGAAGTTGAACATGGCCTGCTCGCGATATCAGTATTGTGTCGCAGCGGGCAAGGGCACGATGAGTTGGGCCGAGAAAGGCAAGGAATGCTGAGCGTATGTCGATGAAGACCGATAGACGAATGAGGAGGTGGTACTCTTCCTCCCTATCGTTTCTCAGTTCTCATTCACGGAGGGTGCAGCCGATGCCCGAATCTCTGGAGGAGCCAGGCAAATATCGATAACCATGCAGTGTATGTCTTCGAATCGGTTCTAAGCAGTCCTGCGGCCTTTCCCTCCGTCGCAGACCGGCGACGACGCCTTTTCGCTTGAGTGGGGCAAGACTGGAGGGGTCGAGATCTCAAAGTCCCTCCAGTCACAGCAGCTCCACGCTGCTAAAGTCGGATTCAACATGAGTGAGGTGGGCACAAGAAGCATCTGACAAAGATCCCTGAAGCTCTACCGGCAGGCCTCTCGGGGTCATTGGGAATCATCAGACTTGAACTATGTACTTCCTTCGGGTAAACATCTCAATGTGCAACGCAACAGACATGCCACAGGGGCGTTTGGGGGCGCCTCCTCGTCCATTCGCCAACAGAGGTATGTCCTCTTTCTCGATTGTTGGCTTAGATATTACGACGCCTACCCCCTCTCGTCCCATTATTATGGATGTTCTTTGACCCCGACTGACTGATAGATTTGCTAGGAGCCTGTCTTGGTTGGCCTTCACCAGTCATGATGCTTGTCGCTATCCTCACTTACTCCCCGATGACTGGACGACGCCCGACACCCTCGTGGTTACCAGTGGTTGCAGAGTCTTTGTGGCCTTACCCTCTGGTGCTGATTGACTGCGTCTCTTACATGACATGTCTGGGGCTCGGTACCTCAAATCTTGCTGTAGATGCAACCACTTTGGTCCGCTCCATTCATTCGGTTGTCTGGCAGTCTGGCAGGGGAAACGCGGGTAAGACAACCCCATTCGCGCGTAGCTCACGGGGTGTGGCGTCCGTGGCGAACAGGGTCGTGAGGAGTTGCAGGGATTTTAATGACCTGGCCGGTCTCGCGAATTTGAGCGCAATGGACGGAGCAGCAACGCCCCTGCGCAGCGGCGCCCAGCAATTCGGCCGGCACGATCGGCGTGGCCCATGACGCCGCTGTATTACCGACGTTTTGTCATTTGATATGTCCCCATTGCTTGTCGAAACGGGCGTGCCACTCACCCACTCACATCGTCAGTCAGAGGTCCATCTATTCCTTCAAGCGCGGCGCCCACTCCCTGATCGAGCCAGCTCGTGACTGGCTTCTGTCCAGCAATATGGCATGGTGACGATCCGGTCAAACAAACACACAGAGTCCAAACTGATAGCGAATGGACAAAGACTGGTCTGTGCATGACGTGCCTCGGCAGAATGTACAGCACTGAGCAGTCTCGACCAGTGGTCCCTCGTGTTACTTCCTTCTTTCGAATTTGTTGTTTTTAACCTTGCAGGTCGCTTACAAGCCGCCTGAACAAGATCAAGTCCTCTGGTGTGTGGAAATGGCGAGCCCCAAGCCGCGGTTTCATCGGGATGAGGAGGCAAACGCAAAGGGCATGGGCCGGACGGAGCCACGGAAGCATCCAAGTTCCCTTGCCCAAGGATCGGCCGTGGAGTATTTGTCTGCTCTACCCTAGCGCTCTGCTCACTTGACTTTCCAAAGTACTGGTCGACACAATCGATTGGCCGACTTCCACGCGGAAGCATAGAGCTAGCGCCTGAGCCAAGCACCAAGTCACTAAATTTGACAGCCTCGTCTAGCACCAGCAGGCAAGCAGGCAAGCAGGCAAGCAAGCAATGTCCAATGGACAGGGCTCAGTGAAGCGCTTCATCATCCATCGCTTCGTCTTGTTTCTCAAATGCACTTCCTAGAGCGACCCCCTTTGTTGGCGGGACTTCCCAACCACATAGTATGCTTTGAAGTCGAACTTTACATATCGCTCAAGAGGTTGAAGGTGGTGCTCCATGCGCTGCTCCCACATTGACAGATTTGGCGGCGACGAAGGAGGGCGAGATTCGAGAATAGCACAATGGCCGGCCGAGTTATCCACTTAGCTCTATCAACTCAAGCCGACCTCACTGCCTCAGCATGTCTCCTGCATTCTATTTCGGGTTTGAAAGGGGTAGATCAAGCAATCAAGGCGGCCGTTGCGTTGGCGACGAAACTCCTTAATTCTCTCAGCTCGATTGCAATTATGGGATAAATTTATTGTCGCTTCATTTCTTTTAATCGCTTTGCACGACAAGGGTTAACCGACGGGCAACAATACAGCGGACAGAAGGCCAAAGACAGCAATGGTGTCCTGGCAACCCTGGTCCGGTTACAATTACGAATGAAAGAAGCGGCATTGCACAGCACAACCTGGACAAGAACAGACGCTGCGGCAATATCGGTTTGGCCGGCAAGGGGACGATCCTGTCCCGCGCATTTCAGAGAGGGATCCGGTCGGTGTAGCCGTCCACGACCTTGGGCCATCCTTCCTTTCTCAGTGGTAGGTGTTGTCTCATTGCGTAGCAAGAATCTACAATGTAGGATGAGGCAATGAGTGGCTTTGGGGTTGTTGGACTGGTACCAGTGCGGACAGCAGCGAGCATCCTGACAAGAACTTGCTCCAGCCCCCATCCCACCTAGCGTCTTGGAGTCCGGGACACGCCTTTGCGACGCAGGACAGTACCCTGCAAACGGACCATTCGGCGGCATACACACGGCGATACGTGTGCCACTGCCACCCGGACGGAGCGAGGCAAGGGACAAGATGGCTATTAACCCGCCTACCCCCACCATGACCACGACCACGACCACGACCACGACTAGCACAGACGACGCTGGATTACACCGAGTCAACGGCAGCAACCATGCGAAGAAACGGCGCGGTGCCGTCAGCAGCCGTGTTTCTGAAGCGGGATACCTGGTGACACAGCGGATTGTACCTCACGTCGGTTTTGTGTTGCTTCATTTGCCTTCGGATGAGAAATTGACTTGCATGCAAACAGCTGGGCTGGATCGGCTCAATCATATCTCACCCATAATTCCACTGCCAATGCCTGCCTCATTCTTCGCATTCGAGCTGTGGCACGGACACGGAACTGTTACTGCACCATTGCCCGGGTTTAATTCAGTACCTAGGCCGATCGTCTGGGATTTGACGACTTCTGACCTGCTGGGCGTGAAGGAGGGCGACGGAGACAAGTCACATCGCAAAGTCTGGTGTTCCTTGTCCGGTTTCTTCCCTGCCGATGCCGACTTGGGTCGCCTGAGAAGCTGATGAGCGAACACGCAAAATAACGGCACGAAGGTGCGGTGCTTATTCCGTCTGACCTGTTGTGGACCTTTTGACACCCACTTGATACGTATTACAACGCAAATTATCCGTATCGTGGAGACATTTCTGTCTTTGACGGGATGAATTGCAGACTGGCGTTCCAAGGTTTCTCTCTCTAGTGAGACTGCGTGGAATTTGTGATGAATTTGCACATCCCAGAGGCAGAACCAGGGACTTAGGCGACATCGAAACAAGGCTATGCCCGAACATCACCGCACCACACGCGCAACTTGCGTCTGTTTGGAGGGCTGGAAGTCCAAGGGGGGTTAGGTGTGCTCAGGTCGCCGGCCTGAGCCAATGAAGATTAAGGGGACGGAAAGACCCGTTCGACAACGGTAGCTGCGATTCTGCGTCATTTGAGGAGGTTTGGACGCTGAGCATAATTGAGCTTGTAGTGGACGTAGACGCACAAGTCGCAGATGTATAGGATTCCTACGATGAAGCCGTCATACTCCGGGGGTACACAAGGGCGGAGGCGAATCCTTCTGGGGATACGGAGACTGAGTCTTCAACTTGAAATCTGTCCTGCAGCATGCGGCACGACGGAGGCCGAAGGCGGGCGTAATCTGCCCCAAGAACAACGACCGAGCAAAAGGACACCCGCGTTCCCGAACAAGGTTAAAACGAGAAGAATCAATAATGGGCGGGGGAGCATTACGACCGGGAGGAAGGTATTTCGCGAAAGTTGATGTTGCGAATGGGAAGCCGGCCGGTCGTGGATGGACCGACCACCCAGAGGCGCTGCAGCGGCTAAAAGTGATTCAAGGCAACGAAGACGACCAAGCCCTGATACGGTGAAGGTTACGGATACTCCAAACTTCAAAATACAGCTAGGCAAAGTCATTGCATGGCCCATGGAAGTTGCTTCGCCCACTGTGCGGTGCACTTCAGCCAAGGTACTAGCAGCATGCGGGTGCTTTACAGCAGGGCACTCGTAATAGCAAAGCCCAAAACGAACGAGGGCCGACAGAGTTTGGTGTGGGGTTGGTGCCGCATGGCACGGTGTGGGCGTGAGTGGGCTTTGATTGGGATGGGGATGGAATGGGAATGGGACGAGATGCTGCGTATCACAAGTGTGCCGGTGATGGCGGTGGGCCGGCTGCGGTGGTGGTGGACGGCCATGATGATGATGATAATGATGATGGCTGATGATGGATGGGGTTCGCTGCTGCGCTAGGAAGCACACGCAGGCTACGCAGCGCAGCGCAACGCCCCTCGCCGTTCTATTCCGTTCATGGTACGAGCATGCACAAGCTGAGCACACTCAGGCTAAGCTTTCAAAGATGCGCTGTTTCCGAACTACCGTCAGACAGCTCCAGTGCCGTTCATACATAACTGTACGAAGATTTGAGGCGAGGCAGCTGAGACGGTTGCCTGCGGCCAAGGCAAGCGAAGCCATCACCATCAAACAAAAGTGCGAGGGATAAACAGCTGTTTATGTTAGCTGGTTGTGATTTGTTGGATCAAAGCGAACTGGCTGACTACGACTAACTAGGCAGAGCACCATATTGTCGGTATTCGCAAGACGCGACCCGTTCATGACGGATAGGTGAGTACCGGATACACTTTTGAGACGGACGCGCAGGCCTGGTTTCCACCACTATGGGAAGATAGGAGAAGTCTGGGGGACCTCCGCTACCGACTTACAACGTATTTGGCAATTCTAGTCACCGTTGTGGTGCGGCAAGTGTGCAGCTCTCGCCTTCCATGCCGGCCTCTTCCCTGCTATGCCCGCAAAGCTGTGTGGTCGCCGCCATGGTTGTGGTAGCGCTGTTCCCCCTCCCCGCTCCTGTACTTTGTACTATGTACAGAGCTGTCGGAGTCGGAGTCGTAGTCGCGCCCAGTATCCGCAGTCAGGACCGAAGAATGGACCAGTGACCACCCCACCCGACCCCAAACCACGCCCGAGACCCTACCCTAGAATTCTCAATCAGCGTCGCAGATGGAAAAGAGGGTGAGGAGTACCTAGGCACGGATAGATCAGTAGCTGCCTTGGTGCCAGGTGGTGCAGGAGAAAAGGGGTGGTATGATACGTGGAGATGGGTGTGGGAAGCTCCAACTTGGAAGAAAGACAGCGAGGGCAAAATGGATGGGGAGAGGGGGGTGGAGAGGGGGGGTGGGGCGTCGAAATATCAAGACATGTCTGCTTCTCCTTGATTCCTTGGTGTACTGGCCCATAAATGGATGGGAGGTTAAAGATGGACAGACAATGAGGCGTCCGGCGGATAGGTGCACGAGGGACGGCAGAACCATGCCATCCTTGCCCCCGTGGTAGGCTCTTGTTGCTGATAGTTGAGAAGTTAAGAGAGAGAGAGAGAGAGAGTCTCGGCGTTGAGAGACTTACAAAATGGCTTTGCTGACTAGGGCACAGTGGAGGAGTGGGCTATGGCTGGCTGTGGTGGACTTGATTGGATTGGTACTCAGAAGGGAAAGATACTTTGGCTTTCGGTACGTTTTACTGCACAACAAGAGGTTCCTCTTCCCCATCGCTTTCTGCCCCCTTCCGCTTGTTTGGCCTGCCGCCTCTGAATGCGTGGTCCTTCCTTTTTCCGTTCTTGCCCATTGGCGACCTTCCCGGCTTCCTTTCTACCCAATCATCCACCCCTTCCTTGCCCAAGCGTTCGAATATAAAGACGCAAAAAAAAAAAAAAAAAAAAGGTGGTGGCCTGGCCTGGCACGCCTGGGCTGCGACAAGCATGCACCTGCTCCTCCTCTGCTGGAGCTGCACCAGGACTAGCTTGACTACCTAGTCTGATTGGCTCGAGAGTGGAACCGGCTCCCAAGATTTATGGAGAAAGTGAAAGAAAGTAAAAAACGACCACTCAGGTGCCACTCCACCTACACGGAGAGAACGACAGAAACTCGCAATTCCGTTTCCGCCAGTGGCCGTCCACAACCTTCCTGGCAGCCTTTTTTTGCAACTTCTGCACATTTGATTCAGACACGATTTTTTTCACCTCGACTTTCACTCTCGGCTTTCCGTGCTCATGCCCAGACCCACGCCCATACTCACACCCACGCCCCGTTTCGTTTACGCCCCCCCCCAGCACCCTTTGAGCCCTTCATTGGGAAACACGCCCCCTGAGGTACCAAACGCCCGCGCCCACGCCTCGTCGCCTACACCTCATGTTCAATTCTCATGCCAAATCTCAGGCCCGGGGACCTGCTGCTTCGTCGCTGCCACTCCTACACATTCTGGTTTTGGCCGCACCTGAGCAGAAGTGGGACCATCGCGCTAGGTAGGATCCGGCTTGGAACCTGGGCTTGCGAAAGAGTCTGGTAGAGACGTGGGAGGCGAACTGGGGCACTGGGACGCCGACGGACCACCACCGACCGGGCTGGGCTGGCACGGCTGGATCATGGATGGCATTGAAATTGCAAGTCGACCGAGGTGGGAGCAAAGCACCCGTCGTGGTCGTGGGGTCACGGTTACGACAGAGGGCGTCGGTCGTCATGGTAAAGTAGGGACCAAAATGGATTGGGAATGGGACTGCAACTTGCGACGGGGACTGACTGGTCTTGGACTTTCGGTCTGGCAACTCGTCCGCCACTCTGGACTCTTGCAGTCTGACTGACTGGTCCATGTCGTATTTCCAGGCTCCGTCACGGCATCGTGTAGGCGGTACCGACGTATCCGCCCTTCTGCGAGTCTGAGTCTGCCATCTCTGATCTACCAAGGACGAGGAGAGGGCTAGAGGGCTGTCCAGCCGCGTCGGCTTGGCTGGGCCTCCTTTGGCGTACTCTCTGCCTGCCTGTGCGTCGAGACTCGAGAGATGCACACGAGCGGCGTCTCCTCCTGGCTGTTGCTGGTTGAGGTTGGGATTGGTGTGCTGGTCTGCTGGAAGGTGTTGGTGCCGGTACGAGATGCAAGTGCATCGCCGCAAGGTACGTACCGTGTTCCGCATCGAAATGGCCAACTTCTGGAACCCCGGTGCCCGAGGCATGTGTCTTTTTGGTGGCGCATCACGAGAGAGATAACTTGCACACCCCCAGGTAGATGGATGGTCCTGGGTATGGTACCTTACTGTGTAAGGTAGGAACTCTCCTCTTTCCGTCTGTCCTCGTGCGTTCTGCCTTCCCCCCCACTTTCCTCCTTCCCCCTTCCTCCCTTTCTGGTTGGAGACCCACTTTGACGCTGCCCTGCGACGTGGTTGGCCCTAACTTCGGTGTGTACCTGAGCCAAACTGTCTTTAGTCTCTTCCTTGCTGGCTTCCGCATTTTTTTGGCGGCTTGTTTCCATAACCGGCTTAGTTGCTTGCTGGATAGTGGACAGCGAGTTGAGGTGGACTGGCTTCAAGTTTGGTTGTTTGCCTGCTTGGTTCTCTGCGCCTACTCCTACCTCCTTCCGAGATACACACATGTTGCTGCTGTTTCTGTTGCCAATGTTGCATGGCTGCAAAGGAAATGTACTTTCAGTAAAGTACTTTGTGCAAAGGCCATTCCCAGGGCATCTGTGGACTCAACCTGCCCTACTTGGAGGGGGTACGAAGATAGACTCACACTCATACTGTAGAGCAAAGGCATCTGGGGTCACCTTCCTTGCAAGTTGCTCCTTGCACATCTCCGCCAGCAGTGTTGGTGGTTGTTGGTGTGCTGGTGCCGCCGGTGCTGGAGCTTCCCGGTTGAGGTGCGTCGTGCGGCGTGCCCTTTCTTTCCTGTGTACCTTACTCCACCACCAGCTGGGCGGTGGGCCTGCGCTTGCTGGTGGTTGTTGTTTTATTTGTTAGAGACCCATATTCCGTCAGCAAGGCACGAACTCAGAACCTTGAAACCGTGAATAGACCAGCAGCCAAGTGCCTTTTTCTTCCTTTCCCCCTTCCCACCTTACCTCCCAGAGTCCCAGCCCAGCACCAAGAACAGGGCACATGGAACAAGGTACCTTGGTCCGCCCACGTCCCATCCCCCATACTTGGTACATCCTACCCACCCCATCCTTTATGCCCCATGCCGTCCTGTCCTGCCCTTGGCCAAATCCCCCAAATCCCAATCCCAATCCCAATCCCATGCCTTCATCACCCACTGCGACCACAGACCTGACCGTGGATGGGGACCCATACCAGGCAGGGCGCGCGGACACAGCTACTATACGGTTATTTTGTTCGAATGATACTTGCCCTCTCACATTACTCCCGGACGAGACAACGGTACCTCGCCTGTGGATGACTGGTACACACGCTACTCGACCTAGGCTGGGACTGGGTACCTTGCTTTGCTTTCCTTGCCTTTCTCACTCGCTCTGTCTCTGACTGCAGGTTGCTGCAAGTTTCTCCAAATAATAATAATAAAATAATAATAAAAAAACGGGAAGCAAAAGTCCAGACAACGAACGACGCAACCATATCACTAGACCTCCGTTTTTTTTCTGCTTCTGCTTCGGCTTCAATCTATCACTTGGTACCGTTCTACCTGGACCCCCGGCCCCGACCTCTTGCCGTGCCTGGCCTTTACCTTGCTTCTTTCTCTATCTCTTCTTCATCCGGCTTGCCTCGATCTTTTTTTCCTTTCCAATCTTGTTCTTGTTGACGGCCCCTCTTGCTACTGCTCTAGTCTTTAGCTTCCTCTGCTCTTCTTATTCCTCATCTCCTCCTGTTCTTCACTCTCGTCTGGTGGGCACGTCTATGCATGCGTGTTCCAAATACCCAGCAACATCCCGTACAATACAATCCCAATACGCCGGCCATCTCTCTTTCTTGCATCCTTCCGCCACTATCCCACCGAATCACGGCGCCCCATTGACCTCACCACCCACGAGCCCTTCATTTACACGGACAATCTGAAGTACACGTCGGCCCAGGGTCATCTCTGCCACCTTATACCTACCTCCCCTTCCGCCGAATTCCTCCACCGACCCTTTCACCCCTCCGAGCTACCGAACTGACCTCAACTTCGAACCATCTCCGATTCACACCAAGGTCTTCGCCTAGCATCACCTACCCCTCCGAAGCTGCTCCTGCAATAGCACCAGCATAGATTGACGGCAGACGAACTCGATTTATACGCCCCTCCCCCCAACAGTTGGAACATCTTGGGTTCAAGTTTACGGCTGGGCCAGCTTTCTTGTCAAGTTACCCTGCCATGGCCAGCCATTGACGGAGATACTGTCGACAATATCATAATCGCCAATCCTCACGAGGACTGAAAATTCCGCGGTTACCAGTACAGGGGGAAACCATCCGACGAGAGCATCCAGTTAATTCTAGGTCGACCTCCTTGCCTGACCCAACTCACCACAGCCCCCTGCTCAGCTGTACGCACGCTTCGCTACGAAAGAAGCTTCTGCGAGTGAATCATCTCGAAAAAACCAAACCACCTGCTTCGACCACAAATGTAGCGGCCCACGGCTTCGATTCTCCTTGACTGAACTCCTCGACCCGCCTCCTCCCTCCCTCTCCCTCTCTCTCTCCCGACCTCTGTCCCCGTCTCCCGAAAACTATTCTCTTCGCAGACCGGAACATCAATCAGGAAATCGTCGACCTGCGAACGATAACTTCCAAGTTCTTTTCACGAGCCACCGATCAACCCCCCGCTCCGATGTGTTCGACTGCCGCACCTTTACCCTTCTACAACCTCCCTCTGTCTCCTGCACACCCCTCGTCGTGCAGACAGAGCTACTCTCAACAAACCTCATACTCAGTCGCTCACTTCCAAAAGGACTCTAGGTTCGATTTCGGGGCAGGAGCTTCTCTGCACCGGGGCGGGCTTCGCACGCCGCCAACCGACGCCATGAGTGCTACTTACCATACCCCTCACCTCATCCCCTACGACAGCCATGTTCATTCCTCATACCCTGCCTCTGTTGCTCAGGCACGGGGACCCACGGCTGTCATGGCCGAGGCTGCGAGAGCCCCTCAATACCCTCGATACCCACAACCCGCCAACACATATTCCCAGTCCCAACAACCGGTAACGAATCCGGCTTCGGGCACAAGCCAGTATTCCACCACATCTCGACACTCGACTCGCCCGTCAACGCCAACATCAGGCGCCATTGGCAAGCCAGACAGCACTTCGGCACGGAAGGGCTCTTCGGCGCTTGTTCTGCACAGCTTGTCGATACCGAGTTGTATCAATCCCAAGGGTGGTAACCTGGCCGACTTCGCAGCACAGGTAAGCTGGCTAGACTTGACAAACGAATACTCAGACTGGTAGCTGACTTGCCACAGATTACGTGCCTCTTCTGGTTCGAGTCTATGGATACCCTGCGAGTCGCCGAGAATATTCGTTCCCGTCCGTCAACCGCCACTATACCTCGTCTCACCGAGTATGCGACTCCCTTCCCTCAATTTAAGAAGTGGGCCTACAGCGTGCTCTCGACGACCCAGGTCACGCAGAATGTCATCCTGCTGGCACTGCTATTCGTATATCGATTGAAGACGACAAATCCCTCCGTCAAGGGTCGGTCAGGTAGCGAGTACCGTCTCTTGACGGTTGCTCTCATGCTGGGAAACAAGTGTGAGTGCATCTAATCGTAATATAAAGGGAACCTTTTTTTACTGACAGGCTCAGTCTTGGACGATAACACCTACACTAATAAGACCTGGGCTGAAGTCTCCGGCATTACCGTTCAGGAGATTCACGTTATGGAGGTTGAGTTTCTTAGCAACATGCGCTACAGCCTGCTAGCTACCAAGGCGGAATGGGAGGATTGGCTTGTTAAGCTGTCCTGCTTCTCGGAATACTATGAACGGGCCCAGAAGCAACCGACTTCGCCCTTGAACAAGTCTTTCACCTCGCCGGTCCCCTCGCCCACCGCGGCCGCGCAGCCCGTTGTCGCGTTCCCGCCTCTCACGCCTTCTACCACAAACGTCTATTCGCCGAGCACCAATGTACAGAGCAATCAACAGGCCTGGCCCTCGACATACCACAACCAGCAAGTGTCACCACTTTCTGGCAAGCACATTCCGGTCATGAATATGAACGGTCGGAAGCGAAGCTCGGAAGAGGATGTGGCGGAACCCCCAGCGAAGCGACTTAGCAGGCAGCCCAGCGCGATACCCTCTGCCGTCAGACCTGTGATGGCCAGCGAGCAACCCATGCGTCTCCCGGTACCTAACCTGACGCTGAACACCAACCCCGCACCATCACAGACACAGATGTATCCGGCCACGACTACCTATTCGACGCAGCAACACGTCTCGTTGCCGCCTTTGAGTAATGGCGTTCGCGCCATGGCGACAGTGTTCAACCCCGCCACAACCGTCTCGATTCCCCAGCTCCCCATGCCAGCCACGACCTCGATGCCGCAATCCTCGCTTACGCCCTCGAATGTCCCGATGCACCCCAACATGGGATACGGCACCCCGACGAAGAGACATAGCCCAGGTAGCCTCTCTGTGTATGCGTCATCGCCCCTCGGCGAGCAATTCCCGACATCTGTCATGCACACTCCCATCTCGCACACGCCCATGTCGCACTCGCCAAGTGTCTATCTTCAACAACGACCCAGCCCGTATAAGCCTATTCGCCACGTCAACACGCTGCTCTATCCTCCACCATCGGCTTCTCTGAACGAATACCATTTGCCCACGACGCAGATGCACTATCAACCTCTAGGGCGACGCAATGATCTGCGAACCGGCGTGGTCCCTGAGTTCATGCATGCACCGTACAGGATGAGCGCTCACATACCGCAAATGCCCCACGGTCTGCCACAAGGACCGTTCCCAAACTAGAGGCTTGGGAGTCTTCCTATGCAACCGCCATCATTACAAGCCTTACGGACACAATATTCCGAGCTTGAATTTTCAACGTCATTTTTTTAGCATTGCATTCTTCAAGGCGTAGGGTTAGGATCATTCTTTTCTATTTCATCATGAGAGGCCTGGGAGGCGGCCGGGACGGTGGGATGGATATTTTTGGGGAAACTGGGGCAACCTCAACAAGGAAAGGGACGACTCTCAAGGATCAACTGTGAAAATTGCATTAGGCGGAGTTGTCTACTTTTCTCTACCTACACTGGGGCTTTCGGGATTCCAGTGAGGTCGACGAGGCAAGAAACCGCATGGCCGTCCAGATTCGTGCACGGTCTGCCAGAACTGTCTGGTGATGCACCTCGCAGGCTCGGCTTTCATTCACGGACGGAAGAAGGGGGAAACTCGGGCTTTTCCGATCAGGCAGATGGGCCTTTTCGGTGTAGATAGAAACCAAGCGTCAGCGATGACAGCTACATTACGAAAGATGACATGAATCAAATCAGAACAAAATGTAAAACAAGAAAATAGTTCCTCGTCAACTGCACATGGTGACGAAAGCTTTTCCTTGGCTCAAACTGGGTGTTGAGCCTTGTCTGCGGGTTGACTGTATATGAAGACATTGACCAATCAGAGAGGAGCAGTGACATTACAGCTTTGATGATGTTGATTGGACAGGTGCACTGTGTAAATTGTGTGGCACCATGGTTCGCACGGTATGTCCTGATTATCACTGCTCACTGCTCATCATCTCTCCTCTACGAGCACAGATTATTCAACGTATACCGACCACGACTTGACTCAATCTTACACATGTATCGAATATTCAGATTAGAAAAACCCACCGGCAAACAAACGACAGGATGGCTTTCTCCGTATTCAAGAGATCCAAGAGCACAGACGACGCAAAAGATAGGGAAGCGTCCCTGTACGTAGCCGGACGTCTTGAAGCTTCGCCATGGCTCCGCGTTTGGTGCCGTCAGGTAATGATATGGCCGCGGTATGGAAGTCAGTCAACGCCCCGCAGGGGACATTCACAGTAGACAAGGCAAAGTTCTAACACCCCGTCGGGCCCCTTGACCAATGGTATCTTTTGGATGCTGCTGACCTCGGGCGATATTGGCCATTGTACCGGGGGGCAGATTCCGGGTAGATGACAATTCTTGCTCTTCTTCTAGGGTACTGTACCGCGTCAATGAGAAGAAACAGCCGGAAAAGGCCTTGTTCGTACACTTTGGGAACCTCACAATTGACTACCACCCGTCCGTGTCTGTCCGTTGATGCTTTGTTGGGTTCGGATCAAACGCCGAGCATCGTCTCATCATGATGCTGAAGATGAGTTACCAGCGAGCTGTCGTCAAGATCACCGTTTGCATGGCCAGCTTGTTGTATAGCAGGCTACAGCGCAGTGGTAGTCTGACGTGGCTGAGGCCGGGCATCGTCGCCGACAGCTTGGAAAAAGCCGCGGACGCGTTGAATGACATCGCCGCATTTGGTGGGCCGCTTCGTTGAGATGACGAGGAGGCTCTATCAAGGCAACAATCGGGAAGGGCAGCATGCCCATTGCGTTCAAAGGGTGAAGGCGCTCCTCTTGCTGGGCCTGGCAAAGTGGCATCGCGTCGATCGCGCCATGAATACCACCCAATGCTGCTTTTCGACACGTAGCAGGCACGGACGGACATGCGAGGACCGACAGCAGGGCTCCTTGGTGTATTGCGGCCAATGCGTTTTACATGTTAGGCTGGAGAAGCGCACCGGCCAGCTTAGCCCGACAGCATAACGTGTTGCCTAACGTCTCGACCTCACAGGAGGTCCTCGGCGAGGTACGGACGTAGACTGGGCGAACTTCCAGGCGAGAGATGTGGAAGGGAGAATGGGCCAGGCTGGCGTGACCGTCAGCATCACTAAAGAAATCAATTTTGCGCCTCAAACGTTCCGAAACTTGATGTGGTTTCTGCAACACCGGTCGATAATATGTGACGCCGAGGCTGGCGATGCAGGTCTGCGAGGGCCACAATAGGAGCCACGGACTTGAATGGGGGAGATACTCTCTGCTCATCACTGTCGGATGTTGAATGCCTTGTCATGGGTGAGGCATTGTTGGGCCCCAGGCGGCACCTTCTTGACGGTGTTGGCACTGCCGACTTTGGAGGTGTAAGGTGGAAGGTGGCTCCGAGATGCGTGAGATGAGGCTGATCCGAAAACGACGTCATATTGCGCCAAGACATGCGCTGAATAATAGTTGCAAGTACGGATAATCCAGGGCAATTCCGTCGTTTTGGGTGACATTTCAACATATCAGGCTGAGACGTTGGTTCGGCTGGACAGGAAGGAAGCTGGGACGGCGTCGTATTAGACGGGTTGGGGGTTGCATCGAGACGCGAGACGGTTGCCGTGGTAGTCGAAGCCATCCACATAATTCGCAGCTATCAGGTCAACATTTGTGTGACACAAGCACGAATGACTGTAAGTATTTCTATTGTCATCATCGATCATTTTGTTGACCGGCGCACAAGTACAATTCGAAAGCAGAGAGTTTGGAGCGAGACGGGACGAAAACCATGCGACGGTTGACTAGACGACGCGGAGAGTGTGTGCGGCGTGCCCACGGCACTGACAGCGGGAGTTTGCTGTTTCTTGCAAGGGTTGTCTGGTTTTGATGATTTGTTCCGATGAAAGGACGGGCAACGCGTCGCAAAACCGGATCATCGTCTTGTGTTTGACGATGGTGAATTTCGGAGTCGGAGACGAGCAATCAAGGCCAGACAGATGGACACAATGCGCCTCATGCCAGAGAGGAGACGGCGGCAACAGTACAGCGTTCCGCAACGGGGTGGATCAATGGGTTACCTAAGCATTTAAAAAAAAATAACAGCGGGAAAATTGCCTCGTGTTCGAGCTAGCGGGAAAGAAGAGACTCGATTGTGCAGGGGCCATCCTGCTAAAATGGGACAATTTGCCAAGAATATCTGCGGTAGCTACGGACTACTGAGGGAGGTGGAGCCTCCGTGGAGGGCAGTTCCATTCAACGCTCCAAGCCCCCAAGGGGGTAAGAAAGGCCCCGGAAGGACACGAGGCAGCCAGTCAGATGCTGTGAATGGAGGCATTCTGCTGTATCTTATTGGCACACCAAAGCCATCAGCCACCTTTGCACCTGCAAAGATTGCCATTCGACCCACTTCATCCCGTTCCTGGACCGGGAAGGCGCCTCTTACGAGAGAGCGCCTGTCCCCTTCCGCTCACTTCCCCTAGCAAACGCCTTGCTGTGCTACCTTACCTAACCGCGTGCCCGCCTCCTCCGGGCACTTTGATCCTGCACTCGCCGCGCTTGTCCTGCACCTGCAGGCCTCAGAGTGGGCTCTTTTCCTCCCTTTTCCACAGCAACGCTGCTCCAACGTCCCCTCCCCCATCCATCTCCAGCTCGTCAACGTCGGACAGCAACCGTTCACTGTCACTCGCTCCCGTCCCAACCACCAGTCCATCAGGATCAGGTTCTTGCCCAGTCATTCGTTGCCGTACTCTCGCTCCATTCCATCATCGCTATTGTCGTTGCTGCCTCCGTAATCGTCATCGTCCACCGGAACCAAACAAAAAACCTCTGCATCGCTCTTGACATTGGACACCATACCGTCCCGTACTCCTAACTTTTGCCATCTCCAGTCACGGACCCCCGGACGCCTCAACTCCACCATCAATCCGCCCACTCTCCGTCCCAGTGACCTCCTCCCTTGCCATACACCGAACATCGATTCCTCGTCCATCCGCACCATCGCCCCCTTCGTTCGCGACGACACGACTGGCCTCCCCAGGCCTCTCTCACATACGCACTCTCACTTTAGTCGAAACACCATCCATATCACGTTGACCACGTCGACCACGTCGCTTAGTCTCGACTCCGTCCATCGCTCGAGTATCCTTTCGCTGCCAACCCCTGTCGAAGCCCTCATCGGACTCACTCCCGACGTAATCTTTCAAAACGCATACCTTGCACGTTACTCGAACGATCCGAAGCTGTCACTCCGACGACAGCCTCATCGCCGTAGGTCGGCCGTAGCCCATCATGTCAGGCTTCGGCGACTTCACCAACATCTGCCACATGGCGCCACTGCCATTATGCGCATCCATCGGTCCTATCACGGAGGTGACGAGCGGCGTTGGTATCGAACCGGACTGTTATGCGCGTAACATCGAGTTAGCAAACACCATCATTTTCGAGGGTGCCGCCTGCGCCATGCACATTGTGTCTCTGCTCATGACCGTCGTCATGATCTTGCATATTCGTGGCAAGTTCACTGCTGTCGGTACGTCAGCCTCCAAGATCCTTAACCCTTGACTGAAGAATACTGACGAGGCAATCGTAGGCCGCAAGGAAATCCTCATGTTCTTCTACATATACATGCTTCTCAGCTTTATCTCACTCTGCGTCGACGCCGGTGTCGTGCCTCCCGGATCCGCCCCCTACCCGTACTTCGTATCAGTGCAAAACGGCCTGTCATCAGCCCTCATCACCTGCTTGTTGATCAACGGCTTTGTCGGTTTCCAACTGTATGAGGATGGTACCTTCCTCTCTGTCTGGCTCCTGCGCGTCTGCTCTCTGGTGGCCTTTGCGATATGCTTCCTGGTGTCCCTCGCGACCTTCAAATCATGGGCTGGCCTGGGTCCCACCAACACGGTCGGTCTCTTTGTCGTTCTGTACTTGCTGAACGCCATTGAACTCTTCGTCTACGTTGCCCTGCAGATTCTCCTCGTTGTTAGGACTCTCCAGGACCGCTGGCCGCTGGGCGACATTGCTTTTGGTATCTTCTTCTTCGTCGTCGGCCAGGTCATTCTGTACGCCGTGAGCACCCAGATTTGCACCGCCGTCAGCCATTATCTGGACGGCCTCTTCTTCGCCACCATCTGCAATCTTTTGGGTGTCATGATGGTGTATAAGGTACGTGAAATATTAAACTCGAAATGGCCATAAATACTGATCCGCTATTGCAGTACTGGGACTCCATTACCCGCGAAGATCTTGAGTTCTCAGTTGGAACTAGGATGAATAACTGGGAGGTCAAAGAACTGCTGCCGGAGGACGATCGCCGAGCGACTGTTTACGACAACGACCCCTACAGCCACGCTGGCGGCTACGATCACTCCTACTCCCCTTCGCCAGCACCGGCGCGCTACTCCGCCAGGTACTGATGCAGGATCGAGGTTGATGGTTGGGATGTGTACGGCAACAGTCGGACGACGAACGGATGTTTTCCATGGCGAATTTTTACAACAGGAATCCGGATCTTGCCGATCTACAGCGGATATTTTCCGTCCATCTGTGTTACTTTGAGGATGACGATGACTTGGGCATGGAAGCAGAATGGCGTTTGGGGGAAAAAACTGTCTTTACAGGTCGGGCTGCATCCCGATACACGGCCGTGTTTGAGTTTTTTTGGGCTGGGGGCGGCGGGCGGCCGAGGCGGGGCCGGTTGTAGATGGATCAACCCAAGAATAGGCTGATAACGTTAGCACGTATAGGTGTCGATGCCCACGGGTGTCAGTATCCGTAGTACATTGTTTAATTCAATCGAGATGCGACAAATTTCATCGAGCCGGGTCGAGATTGCGAGTCTTCAAGGCAGGGAAGACTAACATGGGGAAGGGCTGAAGGACATGCCAGTCACGTGTATGTTCATTATGGGTAGTATAAGCGCAAGATGACACAAATGAAGTTTTGTCCCAGGGATTGTCAGTCTTCACACCTGCTTGGTGCACAAGGCGTGGTAGCAATGTCTTGGCATGCGTAGACACCATGTAACTGCAATTGAGGTATATTTGTTACTTTGGCTCAAGCGCGATATATAGTTTGAAGTGCTGTAGAGACAAAAAGGGGGGGGGGGGGGGGGGGGAGGGGGTTGTGGATATGGGTGGAGTGGTAGAAGATAAGTATAGTGTAGTTGTGTTTTTTTTGGTTTGTTGTGTGGTGGGTATTTTTTTGTTGGGGGGGGGGGAGGGAGGAGGGGGGGGGGGGGGGGGGTTTGACATGAATTTTGGGCAAGGTTTGAAAAGACTCAATCTACTCAAGGCAGAGGTAGTATCTCGTTCTCGGACCAATCAAACCTGTAGTTCTTCAGACCCCGGGCAAACCTTGAGTGAGGGAGCAAGCAAGCAATCTCGAGCCGCGAGATGGAGTAATTCCCACGGCATTTCCATTGCCCGAGCAGCGTTAGAGGCTCGAGAGGAGAAGCCGGAAACGACACGGACAAACAAGCATGGCGAGCTTGATAAAAAAGCTGTAGAGTAAGGTTTTTGCGATCTGCGTCCGTGTTGCAAGGCAACACTCGGATTGGAAGGGGAGCGAAAGAAGTGGAGGTGGAGCTGCTGCACGGAGACGGCATTATGGAGATATTACCGAGTGAGTTTGGAGTATCCGTATACATTTCCGTATACATATCCGTATCCGTAGGGACTCACACGCACTCTGTAACGGCAGCATATCTCTTCCTCCAGGAGCCCAACCATCGCCGGCTTGGGTATCGAAAGAAAAACCAATTGAGAAACGGGAAGCATTCGTATAATCAAGCGGTGGAAAGCAAGCCGACACGATGGGACGAGACCAAAAGTTGGAAGGGGACTCAGGCGTGCCAGATCTAGGGGTCTTATCGGATCCATCGGATCTGTTACCGGTATGGGCGACCTTAAGATACCTTAGTCTGAAGCTAAGAGGCTTTCCTCGCACTTGGGTCCAATCACGTGGTCTACTCGCTACAATAGAAAAATGTAATAATTGGATTCCAAGTGTCATGAGACAGGGTGCCTAGAAGAAACGCTATCAATAGATGGTGCAGTCAAGAGAATGTAAGGTACTTTGTACTCAGTACCCCGTGCCCTGAGCATCCTTAATATCGAATAAAATTTTCTAGGGAGGAAATGGGGATAATTCTTAGAGAGGCACATGCATGCATGCATGGGCCAAGGTCGCTCGCTAGGGAGGTTAGTGGCAAGGTATTCATTTCAATTTAGGTTACCTCAACTATCGATACTATCTAGCAGGGTAGTGCACCCGAAGATAGAACTAGGGAAGAGGGTACGGATACTCCGTAGTCGACGTCGATTGGCCCCGTCGTACGGATATCGGTATCGTATCCGTTTCCGCACTTTTGCCTACCTGGGAACATTGAGGCAAACAGACTTTCGTACGGTAGTACGGACTACATGACTGACCTGACCTACTATGGTTGCAGGCCAAAGTAAAATCCCCTGCTAAATATCTACGGAGCGCAACGAGGGTGCTCTACAGATTATCTAAGCAGCAGTACTTCGACCATTGACGCTTGAGCTCAGCCATTTGCGTTGCAGCATTTCACTACCAGTGGATCACTGCCCGCAAATACATGGCCAGGGATTAAACTTACCCATAATACCTACCATTGTAGGTAGGTACTAGGTAAGGTAGGTCGGCATTAATCACTACCTAGGTACCCTTTGTAACGGCGACCAATTGGTTGACTACCTTACCTTAGCTGGGTACGGATACTCAGGTACTACCTTACTTACCTTAGGAAGGCAGGGTTCCTTAAGTAATCAAGCGAATTGCGGTTTGGCTGCTTCCTTGCTACTTTCTCCAGAGACCATGGTGCCATTGTCTATTATTCCTGCCTGCTTTCCTGCCCTTTGTAGAGTCTTTTTTTCCTTTCTTTCTTTCCCTCTTTCCTTCTTACCTCCTTCTCTTTGCTCCTCTCCCTCCCACGGCCCCCTTTCCTCGGGCATATCTTTCTCAATAATACCACCACGCATTCAATCTGATTCATAAAACCTGTTTCCTGTGGCCTCCTCCAGGCAAACCATTTTCCGCAAACAACCCAGGCCACCAGGGGACCTAGGTATTATCGGACAGCTCGTAACAGCCGACGGCCGACCAACTGCTGTCTCCATTCTGCTCTGCCCCATGATCCATCACACATCCATCCACTCACTCACTCTACCTTAGCCCCGGTCGACTCCAACCAAACGTCCTATCTGCCCCCTCCCTCCCATTGCGTCGGCACAGGGGATTCGGGAATAAGCGTCTAGTTTCTTGCGCGAGATCACGTGCAAAAACGCGATACTCATTGCTTGACGACGAAACGCCTTGTAACAGAGCGTGAGGTGCTGCCCAGTGCAGTCTACCCGCCTACCTCAACCCTATTCTCATCTGCATCACGTCTTTCTGCCCGCACCTACTACCATTGCAAACCATCTCTATCACTGGGCAGCAACAGCCGACTTTTCTCTCGCCTCCAGCCTCGGCCCCATTCTTTTTCTACACAGGTCGAGTTCGCTCGTCTGCAGCCTGCCCAGCACGCAGCACACAGCACGCAGCACGCGGCACGCACCCACTGTCATTTTCCGACCGTGTGCTGCGGCCTGCCCCCCTAGGTATCGCCAAATCCCATCGGGCCTATAATCCGCATACCTAATCCTCAACGACACCCATCGACGCACCTCGTCCAACTAGTCAATTGGACTAGTCGATTCCGGTCCCCTGCCACCCGCACTACCTCTCCTTTGCTCGGATTTTCAGTACACCAAGGTAGTAGTAGCCACTGTCTTCATATTTGCGTCGCTTGACGTCTTACCCACATCCCGCTACCCGTTGCCGTCAAGTCCTATCCGTATCTTTGACGCCATCAACCCATCTATCTCTTCACTCACCTTGACCTCTTTCCAACCGACACCAAACAAATTCATTCTCACGTCGGCCATTTCCTCCCGAATATTTTACCTGACTTTACCTGCCCTGGCCAAAGCGCAGGCACAACACTCCAACGTTGCCGCGCGGACTGATCGACGCTCGCGACATCTTCGGCTTCTCCACACCCCTGGACGGACTGTCGCCGCATTTCATTTCCATCCAAATTCCCCATCTCCTTCAATGCGAAACCCCATTTTCGTTTGGAACGGTCACACCCTCGTGCTCAAATAATCTCGATTTTCTGCCCGACGTGCCGACCTCTCCAACTTTGGATGAACCGCACTGTTGCGTTCATCGACACTTTTCACTCACACGACGACCCCTTCAGAACCCACGCTTTTTATCTCACCACCTCCCTTCCAATTGGGTCGCCTTCATCATGCCTTTCGATCCTGGAGATGACAGGAGGCCGGTCACCCAGGATGAGGAGCACTACTGGCAGTCCATCCGCCAGCTGCATGAGCAGGATGACGAGAACCTCGATGCAGAGTACCTAAACACTGCCAAATACTATATGGCACGCCTGACAGAATTAAACTTGGAGAAAACGGAGCTTGAGCGACGTGCGCTCGAAGTTCATCGCGCCATCACACGGGAACATAGGCACCTGGAAGAGTTGAATGAAAGGTTCCAAAATACCAGGATGGAGATGAAGATTCAGCGCGAGAATCACCACATTCAGTTGGCCGTCTGGTTCAATGAGCAACGCCGCAAAGAAAACGATGAACGCGTCAGCATCGCAGCTGCAGCTCTCGCCGCCCCGCGCCGCGATTCAGGGCTCGTCGAACCATCACATCCAAGCAAGGCCCCCGGCGTCGGACCCAACGGCATCAACGTCAATGGAGAGCATCGGAATGGTGCTGCGGTAACAATCCCCAGTCATGTCAGACCCAATCAACCTGCATTGACCATGATCGTCGATGCATTGGGCCGTACCGTGGGACCGGTAAATCGCCTTGCGTCGAGCAACAGAGTCGTCACATATCTGTCTAGCTTGCCCCAAAAAAGACCCGTCCAGCTCCGTGACGGCCTCACATTCAGCCACAATGACATGAGGGCAATTGGAGAAGTGGAGGACAAGTGGAAGGGCGCCATCATTCAGGCAACAGGCCTTGTCCGGAAACAATCACAGCAATGCACTCAATGTGCCAGCGGCGGAGGCCCGTTTGCTCAATGCGTCGGTCTGGACATGCCTGAATTCCAGGCATGTGGTAATTGCGCTTGGCAGAGTTCAAATTGTTGTGATCTATCGTCAGTGGGCCAAATGCCGCCTGCGAGGGGATTCAAGGCGCTCAACGCCCAAGATGTACACATCGAACGAGCCGTCAACGGTAGCTATGCTAACGGTGCTGCGACTCCGATCGTCCCTAGTCGGCCTGGCTCACGAGACAAGAGCTTCGCTGAGGGCTCAACAGCTACTGATGAGATGGAGGAGGGCATGGCTCCAATCACCAAGGCGAACCTCTTGTTGAAGCACGATGGACAAGTCTTCACGCATCCGGAGTGCATGGCCGGGGTGCCCGTCAACAAAATCGATCAGACGCACGAGTACTGGGACTCAACTTGGCCAGACATCGTGCCCATGATCGAGCCGACATTGCAGTCATGGCGAGACAAGCTGCAAACCGCTCTGGAAAAGGGACAGACGAGCATGAAGTTCCAGCTGGGAAGACAGGTGAATCGAGGAGAGACCATCCTGAAGTTCTTGCAGGACGCAGACTTTTGCCCTTATCAGCTGGTGGGAAAGAAGTACATGATGACCCGACTCGTGTCTTACGACACCATTTTCCGTCTGGCCGATACTCTGCGAACCTTGGAAGGCTTCAAGACGCTTGACATCACTCCACTGGAGTGGTTGCGCCAACGTCTGCAGGAACTCATCATCTCGGATGGATCTGAGTTCAATCTGGCCAAGACGATTCACGACTTTTACCACGATACAAAATACGTAGCCCTGAGGCTCGCCAACGGTAAAAAGAGCATTGGAAGACCGTCGGGAATGAAGATGACGCCAAAGGACTCACCCAACTCGGCCAGGGGCACCCCAAACACCAAGAAGCGCAAGCTCTTCATCAGCGAAGAATTTCCTATCGCATCTCAGCGTCCACTTGCCCCGACACCGACGCCACAGCCCCAACCCCAGCCGCAGCCTCAACTCCAGCTACAAACCCAATTTCCGCCCAGTCAACCTCAATTTCGGGAAAGCGAGACGCCGCTGAGTGCGCCGCCGACGCCCGAGTTTGCCAGGCAATCCAAGAAACTTAGGACGGCACGAATTTCTGGCAAGTTCAAGGATCAAGATCTCTACTACGACGGCTTCACCGATATCGATGACTACAGCGGCGATGACGTCGGCCAGCATGATTGGGCATTGAACCGGATCAAGTGCCGGCTGAACAGCGTTAGCACTGGTGTGACACAGTACTGGCACTGGATCCCCGATAATGGCGAGCAGATATTTGAGCACCAAGTTCTAGCGGAAGGAGACACTTTTACATGGGGCATCTACGCCAAGCCGGTGAATTTCCACTTGGAATTGGAACATATTCAGGAGGTTAGATGGGCCACCGACACAGCCAAGGTCATTGTGGTGTGTAAGGAGGGCGTTGTGGTTTCGCCTGATGGCGAGCCTCGAGGCGACCTCTTGGCGGAGTTCAAGCGGGACCGCACCAAGAGGCGCTTCTTGGTCTTTTGCCGCAAGAAGGGGATCGAATTGGTCAAGGTTGAGGCGTGAGTATGCCGCATCTTTTCAAGAACAAGCAAGGTAGCTAACGGAACACCAAAGGGACGTCATACAAGACGCATGGGACGAGTACGAGTCGCCAGATGTCCCGGCGCTACCGGATTCTGAAATTGAATAGGACTCTGACGAAAAGGCTCCGGTGCCGGCGAAGGCCCAAAAATAAGGAAGGAGGTGAAGGTCTTTCACGTTTAAGAAGGAGAATGGTGGAGATACCCCTGGTTTTTGATTTCGGTGGGTGTCGATTCTTGCGGGTTGAGTGGAACTTGAGCCTGCATTGGCGTTTGGGAGTGTGCGATGGGAGACATTCGGTCATGCCGCCGCCATGCGCGCAGGTTGCTCGGGTACCAGGCAGCATGCCACAGCCAGGAGACGCCAAAATGTGGCTGTTTGCCATAATTGTAGTTGGGCAGACGGCGTTACCTGGGACACCTTAGACGTGGTGGATTTTTTGGTTTCTTGGGAGAGGACGTGCCTTTGATCAAGTCCAGCCCTTTGCTGTTGTCGTTCAGATTCCATGCATGGCTCTTGGTTAGAGCACATCTCCCGTCAAGGAACGAGATAAATAGACAAGTGTTGGGAGCGGAAGTAAACTTGTATCCCAAAGGCCCCCAAGGGCTGGTACACCTGACCGAAGGCTTTAACAAACTCAATGGTACTCCCGAAGGCGTCCATAGGTTAGATGGCGGGTTAGCCTTCGAACGAAGGACGACGTGTGGCTCGACTCCATACATTTGACAATTCTTCTTGGCGGATGCGACGTCCCGGGCCATGGACCGTGTCATCGGGCTATAGCATCTCGTATTCTGGCATTCATCGTCGGCTGCGGACCCGATTGGCGCGCGAGGTGCCATGGGACCAGGTTATAATGCGCTCAAGCCGGCTTTGGCCGGGACGGCTAACCAGACATCAGGAAGGTTGGTTAGGTTAGCGTGCCTGCATGGGTACCGTGCCGCGGACGGAGCTTGGGGCCGGCTGTTGTGTCCCATATATTTCGACCGGATCACCGCTCATGTTCTGTCTTGTGGCGTTTCCGATCTCGTCTACTTCCCTCCGCCGACTTTCCCATCCAGCTTTCAACCAAGCCGGGATTCTGGTTGCGAGTCCATGGCTGCGGGATATGTCCAAGCGGGTTGGCAGCAGACGGCCACCGGCGTTTTGGAAATGATGATGCATGCTTTGGATTCTGCGCTGGCGATGGCGATGGCGATGGCCTTACCTGTCTGTTTGTTTCCCATGCGTCTCTGGAGACGGGTCTGCGACATGGGGACTAAGTTGAGGTGACTGAGTCTTTCCTGTTTGCTTGGTGTGGCATGTCGGCGAGCTACCTGCCACCAGTGTGGAAGTCTGAGATTCCAGCCACTCCTACCTTACTTATCTATTGCCTCCATGCTGGGCTCCATGCTGGGAGCCTGGAGCACTCTTGATCCATGACGGCTTTTGCTGACGACTTTCTCTAGCCGGCGCCTGCGAGTGCGGGATGCTACGTGCCGCTGTTTCTTACCATCCGGTTGTCAGGCGGTGAGTTTGTCAATCCTGATCCCTCTCCATCTGAGATTATCTAGTACCCATGAATCCACCAGACTAGACGCTTCCCGATCTCTGTCTCCTTCGCTTCCATCCTCACTATCATCCTATCATCCTACGTGGCCCCATGCCCCGGGCCTGGGGCCTGGCCTAGCCCTATCTGTGTCTACCCCTGGCTAGCTAAGCTCAGGCACATCTTATTTCACACGTCAAGAGCCATGGCGTTCCCTCTGCAAATGTACCTGCCTCCTCCTCTACCGGTCATCATGTAATCGACCTATCTTCAAGCCCCCTTTAACACGAGATCGTCTTCGCAGCATCTTTGTTTCTATCCCTCCGAAACTAGCCCCTGACCGCAGGCCTGCGCTACTGCTTGGTTTGTTGTCACATATTACGGTCCCGACTTGGAGACTTCGCACCCTCCGTTGCAAGATTCACCATTTAAAGTCGATAGGACCTCATCTTGCGGGCCTGGCGGAATACACCGAGCTCTTGCCAAAGGTTGGCGCGCCGGAGACTAGACTAGTCGACAATGACGACTGTAACAACTTCTTGGGATATCGCGCGTCAAACCTATCACTCCCACGCTCTACCTAGCGACTCGAACGTACACTCTCGCTACTACCCCTCACCAACCAAAACTCGAGTTCAAGGTGTCATGACTTCACCACTGTCAACCCGTGCTGAGACTACCGTATCTACTTACGCGCCAGCTACTTAAATATCAGGCTACTTCAACTATGTCATGTGCCCCGGGCCCTTTCGCATGGCCTCTTGTGCCAACCTGTAAAGAACAAATTGCCCGTCGTTAGTCTTCGCGGGACGAAGCCTCGGGAAGTATCCTGGTCATCATCCGTCTCTATTCACAAATCATCGACATCTTCAGGGGCCATTGGCAACGCGCTGGCCGAAATGATTTAAAAAAGCTCCAGCGGCCCATCGGCGACCCAGGCAGGGAGCCAGACAACGTTCGTGAGAGCTCTACTGGTAGACGTGGGAAGCGGCACTCACCTCCTTGCTCGGCGGAAATACCCGCCATTAGCATTCTGAGCTTGAGGAAGAGCATATTCGAGACCCCCCTCCGACACAGCTCAAGCCGATCTGGATGTGTACTTGGAAGAACCGTCCCGCGCACGCAGGAACATGGCAGTTGCCGGCGCGAAAGCACCTGGACGACGCCGTTCTGCTGTACCAGGTCTCTACCGCCTCAATGATGGCATTTCGATGGCATCTCCGCCTGTCGAGGCTAGATGGACATCAGAGTTCCAAACAGTATGACGGTTTAAGTGTCGCATCAGGGAAGCGATGCTGTCCCAAGTCTGTGTCCTCCTCAGGCTTTCTGAGGGTATTGAAATCCCACACCCCTACCTCCCTCTCCAACTCATTGTTCAATCTTCAACGTCGTCTTCCGTGCAAGGTGATTGCATGGGTGCCTTACTTTCCTTACTGGGTCGGCTCTCATATCCTTGCGAGAGCACTACCATTCGTCTTCGCTACATATTGCACCCCGGCTTACGGCACTTGAGGCGCCTATTTACGAGTTGCATTGCCATATTGCTTCTCACCCGTACAACGTCTGTGCCTCCCACATGGTCTCCGCATAGCACAAATACTCTCGTATTTTGCCGTGGTTTCTCCCTGCTGCTTCGTTGACTTTTCTTACGGCCCGGGGATGGCCGTTTTTACGGACAATGTTTCACTACTTGACTCTCCGTCGCGGAGTGTCTCTCCATCCCCACAACTACTGACGACCACCTCCTCGTCCCCTAGACTGACACGAGGAACCTTTATGTCCTTTTAATTGTCATTTTCAACTGCGTCGATATTCAAACCGACGCTTCCCAATGCGCATCGTTTTTCATTATTTGTAGAAGAACACGGAGAAAAACATCATTTGGGAACCATAATGTTTAATACAGGAGGACGTTCCTCGCTTCTGGAAAGCCTGTGTCAATCCCCAGCACCATCGTAACGTCCTGGCTCTCCCAACCCCGGGATTTGTGGCATATACTCGCCGCAATGTCTCACACCCTCCCAAGCATCAAGAAGAAGACGAACGCCTTCATGTCAGTCTGCTGGGTCGGCTCCACAGAGGTTCCGAATGTCGACTGCAAACCCATGATCACGTCGCTACCAAATGTGAAGTTGACCCCATCTTTCCAAGCGATTCAAGCAGCAATCTCGGCGCTCGATACAGATGGCGACGGCGTAGAAACGCACCCCGGGCCCTCATGCAACCAGCTCTCATCATCACCGAGCCGACGTCAGCAAGTTGTAAGATATCATCCCACAGGGCGTGACACATGGCCTGCATACTATCTCTCTGCCACAGCACCCTAGCCTGACGAAGAGCAAAGCCTTCCTAAGGGCTTTAGTTCACCGCCTACAGGTTAATACGCGGCATCGTCCACGCCTATGTTATTGAATGCAATGGCACGTCCAAGTCTTCCAGGGTTGGTGGCATCCGCGATGTCCGCCACGCAATCGACTGCCACGTACTCAACGCTTCCAACCTGGCCTTCGTCAGCCCGACAGCTTTCTCGTCGTAGGGGGCCGGAAACCACCCCCAAAGTACTTATTCATATCGCCACTGAATCTCCCTTTGTATGAGGTTCTTCTCTGTGCCGTCTACTCTAATTCGCGATGTTCAAAAGATTGCCGCATCTACGGCCATGTTATCAATCTGGAGATTTATTCTTTTTTCTCTTTCCAATGTCCGAACGCCCAACTCGAAGAACAGAGATGGCGCGATCGTCCGGCTAGAAGGTTCGGTGGTACCGGCCGAGGCTCGCAGCCATACGAGTTCTGGGAGTACGGAGTCTGTGACTTCGAAGACAGGCTGTGTCTGCGCCGGTCACTGCTCTCGCTCAGCTAGCCTCTGTCGCCCAGCGAGAAGACAAGAAACAGGAAAGGCTTAACCAAATATTTACATTTCCTGCATTGAATTCGACGATCCTCAGATGCGTTCAAAATGATGTCGCCTCTTTCCGCGAACTACTTTAGGAGAACGCACCACTTCAACTGTACTTCGCAGCGGTTTGATTTCCTCAGCAAGCCCACTCGGAATATATGTCTTTCGGCAGCATTTCAAGCCCTGGGTCCTGGTATTAACCGTGGATGAAGAGCCAGACTCATAGCAACGATTATGACCGCTTGTATAGCTTCTTAATATGGAGCGGGAAGCACAATACACCCTGCGCAACACCCAGCAATGTATGGAGCCTCGCGCATCTTGGAGAGCATATCACTATCGACTCCAGCACTCGCACTCGATATGGGGCGTTTCTCCGCCATATCTGACAACATGTCACCATTCAGGACGATGTCACCTACCACTTTCTTGTGGGCGACCTCGAACAGGCGGGTCACAGAGTCGTTCATAGACTACCTACCTCTCATAACTGCGACTCAAGGGATCAAAGCTCGCCGCCACATGCCCTCCTCCAGAGTTCCGGTCCCGGCCGTCAACGCCTTCGTCCAGAAGTTCAGAATTATGACAGGGACCTTGCGGCACGTTTGGGAGTCTTGGGTTGCAAATCTAGAGGAGTTGCAAAGGACCCTCTGCGAACAGCAGCCTCATCTTTGACACCCAGCAGTAAATCTAGTACGGTTGCGCTTTATTCTTCCTCCAGCATGCGGCCAAGGCAGAAGGGACTATCAATCCTTCTGTATACCACCATCAATTCCAAGTCTACCAACAGCGGGAAGACATTCGAGGCTGGGGAGCTGGCACACATCATTGTCATGCGTACTCAGAGATGGCTGTAACCAAGGCGACAGTGTCCTCAGGCTGGAAGTGGGCAAGCTCAATCTCTCGACGTCGTACAACAGCATATCTGATCCAAGGTATATCCTTCCCCCTATTAGGAAGCTGCCTGACTGAGAGAGCAGAGCCACTGCTTCCCGAAGTCAAAAGGAGAGGCGTCCAGAGTCCGCAAGGAAGGCCGGGAATCCGGTCTGTCTCATGAATCCAGAGATTTTCCTCTACTATGAGGTGAAGCGCAACTTGGCGGACATGGTGTTCGGAAAGCGTTTGGTCTGGGCCAAGCAGAAAGTTAGGAGGGTCATTCGTGGCGCACCAGCTGACGCTTTAACAGCGCGATTGCTGGACTTCCACCATCGCAGACAAGCAAGGGTATACGATCTACATAAGGAACATTCTCCAGCCACTTCCTGGCCAATCTTTCCCCTAGGAACGACCAGACCGTCTAGCTCTAACAACAGCAGGATTTCTGTGCTGCGGAGAGTATCACAACCCTCAATCTCAGCACTCAGCTACTCGAAGATCGTCAGAGACACGTTCCGCCAGCGTACGAAGACGCCCCCTGAACTCCCCGTGTAAAATCACCACTTCTACCTCAAGCAGTCTATATCAACAATTTGAATGTTTCACCATTCCAAACGTATCGTTGCCCCACGGACGCGAATACCAACAATTATATTTTTCGGCTTCATCATGGGTGAGGGCCACGCTGTCAGTAGCCCATGGTCTCTAGTCTACATCCTCATCGAGAACTTCGAGAAGATGCTCTTGTACGTCATCATCAGCAGTATCTGCGACCTTCACGGATACCTCACGATAGAATCATGTCTTAAGATATTCCAGTGTTGGTGCAACCGATGACGAACACTTTGCGACGATACACCCCGATAAGCATGTCGACGCATAGTAGCGAATGACAAGCAGGCGTTGATCCAGCTTCGCGTCCCTTTGGAGCAGCCCTTGGGTCCACCACCTCACGTCGACCGCAGTCAAGCAAGTGTTGACTTTCGAATTTATGTTTCTGGACGAACTGTAACTTGAGCCAAATTGGCTCTCGAATGATTGACGAGCGGATGTGGAATCATGAACCAAGATTTACAACAGAGGCTGTGAGAATGTTCATGTACGTTCTGCCAAACTAATCTCCACAAACAAAAATCAACAATACTAGTAAATTGTGATTTGAACATGAAAATGAATGCTCCTGCTCTACACCCCCAACGTCTTGGTCAACCAGCGTGCGAACCGAACGGACTTTTGGTCCACCATTCTCCAATGCACGTCTCCGAACCATACGGAGAGTACCAAACCCAAGACGAAAGTGAGAGTCCAAGCGACCCCAATAGAATACCCGGCGTTTAGCATCTTGTACTTGAGACCCATGGTGAGGAAGCACCTCTCAGCAGCCCAGTGGACCAGGTACACTCCGTAGCTGATCTCACCCAGATACAACACCCAACGCGCGTTCAAGCCGCGTTGCAACAGGGGCAGGTTTTCCAGGGCGGTTACCAATATCATGGCAGCAACACTCGGGAAGCTGCGTGCCGGATCCTGGCCAAATACGGGGATGTAGGCGAGCCACCAGTATCCCGTGGCCGCGAAGGTGTTGCCGTTGATTGGGTACCCGCCCAAGAAGATCGCGAACACAAAGACCGGCCACCAGCTAGCCGCAGCAGCTCTGTCAAGTGAGCCCGTCAGGTTCGGTAGCTTGTCCCGCACGTGCCGGACGTCGGCGAGGATCATGCCCCAGAGGAACAGGCAGGGCTGCCACATATTCCCGTCTGCGCCGAGGGTCCAGAACCAGACAAAAAGCGTCATCACCACGGATAGCCGGACCAGGGGAGACACCCTTCCCAGGGCCAAGCAGCACAGGAAAACGAGGAGCGATCCTTTGTACTCGACCGAGAGTGTCCAGGCCTGAGGAAGGATGGAGCCGGTAGTACTTTGGGTGACGATGATCATCAGCGTCTTCCAAGCCATGGCGAGGTGTCCCCAAATGCCAGTGGCTGGAGGCCCCTCGACACCCCTGCTGTAGACATTATAGTACAGTCCGAATGTTTTCAAGGCCAGGGTCACGAAAATGACGGGGACAACTGGGAGAAATAGTCGGATCGGGCGGCGGAAAACGCTTGATGGAAGGGTCCCAACGGAGGTTTCAACTTGTCCACTGTGAGCCTTCTTCAATGGACCATATGTGAGTGCAAAGCCGCTAATGACGAAGAAGATGCAGACGCTGAAGATTCCACAGTGGATCAGTCGGAAGAAGGGAAGCTGTATGATGTAGTGGTCGACCTCGGTCTCGCCCCAGCCACGATGGATGAATGGGAACTGCACGCAAGCTTGTCAGCTGTCTTTTCACAAACGAAACCGGGGAGGGGGGCGTACTCACATCATCAGTGTTGTGCATGATAACAACGATAATCGCCGCGATGCCACGGAGGCCGTTCAGATACGATGTTGCGGTGGAATCAGGGACTATCGAATCTTCGTCCCCATGCCCGAATGCGTGGGCCAGGAACGATGGCACCGAGGCCCAGAAGATGCGTCGTACATCCACATGGGGCCACCGGAAGTAACTGCGTCTCGTGTACTCGATAGGTTTTTCTTCTTCGTACGACAAGTCTGAATAGTCTGCCGATACATCTGCTTCCTCGTCTTCGAGCAATGCGTCGTAGGCCTCAATCGACTGCTCTCCTGGGAACCAGCCATGCACGGTGTGGGCCGACTCCTTGGAATGGGCCGTTTCAAGCTCGCCTTGTTCCAGCATCTCGAGCTGGGTTGATCACAAGGATTCAAAAGAAAGAAGAACTGGCGAAGAGGTGGCTTGAGTTGGAAGATATCCCTGAGAGTTTGTATCGATGTGTGTCTTTCGATTGAACAGCTTGACAGGTTTATAGCTTAGAGGTGAGGCTACGATATATGATCACTAGCAGACTTGCTGTGGAAATAAGAATTTGAGGCAAGAGAAAAGAGTAAGCGGAATTCAAAGGGAGAAAATGGCGAATTAGGTAGGATGAGGAATCGCATCAGACTCGTAACGCGCTTCATCAACGCGAAGCAATTAAGAAGAGGTCACAGATTATATTAGAATTCCCAAGTAAGCCCAGGCAAATCTGATTTTGTCTCAGTCAGGCGCGACGCCATTCAAGCTTCAACAGGATTATTGGGCTTTTCAGGTAGCACCGATCACGTTCAGGCTCGCGATCCGCTGTGTTCAAAACTAGATGTCATATTACGAAACAACCATATTCTGCCCACAACACAACGGGCCAAGTTGAAAAAGAAATGAAAACCAAGTGTTTACTTTCCGGGTATGTAAATCAGACTAATTGCAAGCGAATGACATGTCAAGCTTGCTCTATTGGTTGCGTGAGGCCAACCATCCCACCGTACTTTTCGAGTTGTGAGACATGAGCACTTAGATCAGGTGGACAGGGAGATCTCCATACTGATGGGGTTAGCCGAACGTTACACAAATTCGGGTCAATCCATCGCAAGACATTCCATGTGAACGTGTTTGTTACACGAATTTGACCCCTACCAAGCCGGCGCGAGGAGATTGGCTGTCAAGATGGAGGGCGTTTCATGATCTCATTAAAACCTCCATACTCGGCCCGAGGAGTCGAGAACCCTCGGGAACATCTGCTGTACCGTTCTTCTTTACCCCCACTAGCCTACGGGATGTTGATTCCTCGAAAACTGAAGCCCCGTGTGCTTAAGCTTATTCCATGACCAAGACTAGGACAAGCTCAAGTTCGATGTCAATTCCATCACAGACATAAGATAATTCATCTAGCCAACCAGCCACTTAGACCAACTTCCCCGTTTCCGAGGCCTAGCTAGAAGAATTTCAGCCGCGAGTCATGATTCCACACGCAACTTTGGAAGCGTCTTTGCAAACGCTCCGACGGATCTCGCCATTGCCTGTATCCATAAGACGTCATAGACTGAAATGCCAAAACAACAGCCCGTACGGTGTACCAATCATAGAGAGGTGGTCTCATTATATCCGGTATGCAGTGGCGTTATACCGCGTCCCAAGGTACATGCCTCACGTGGCGAACACGGTCTGTTCATCCAATTATAGATAATCACTGAGACCTTTACTATTCCACAAGGAACAAATTTCGGTGGAAAAGTTCTGCCGGAAAGTCGATATTTCTGCTGAAAAGCAGTAGGCTGGATAGGAATGTATGGATATAGGGCTAAGATCTAAGATGGCTATAGCTTTGACGGCGGAGCAGGGGCTTCACAGCCGCAGCCGTCGCTTTCCTTCTTCCCCTCTTTGCTGGACTCTACCAAAGTGCTCTTGTTGAAGCTCTGCTCACTAGGAGGCACGTCCAACGCCGGGTTCTTGTCAAAGAAGTTGACCGGCTTCAGATGAACCTTGAGAATCTCAACCGGCATGACTGGGAAATCTTCAATTCTCGGAACATGGTTGATACCAAACTGCACCCAAACCACAATGTCAGACTGCGCAGTCAATATCTCATTCCGCTCAGACCACCCCCTGACACCGGTTCCTCCACGAGACTGATTGGTATACCAACCGCCGGCGTAAAGCTCCCTGTCGCGGTGTGTTGTGACGTAGATGTTGTGGTCTGCAAACTCAGCGCGCTTGTAGTTGAAGCTGTCATTGTCGCTCATGAGCTTCTGGAAAGGCGGAGCCATGATCTTGTAAGCTACCGGCTTTCCGTTGATGGGGTTGAGGGAGTTTGGGTTGGTGATTTTGAATGTGCGGTTGACGTCGAAGTCAAGATCCAGGCCCGAGGTTTTGTCCACGACCTTGTCGACGACTTCGTAGCCCGTGCCATGAGGGTTCCAACTGGGGTCGCGCGGCATCTTGTGAGCTTCCGAGTATACTAGCTGGTTGGTATGTCCATCAATCATGGGGTCGACTCGCAGGGAGAAGATGTGCTGATGGTGTCCCGCGAGGACACCGGGGTGAACAACGGTGCCAAAAGACGTGCCGATCTTGTCCAACTCGTGGTCGATGGGTTGTGTTGAAAGGATACCAGTGGCTCGAACTTCGTAAGTAACCTCGCCGGCTTGGTTAAACAGGAACATCAAGATGTACTCGTAATTAGAGACTGTAATGATGCTCTGAAGCACAAGCTCGCGAGATCTCACGAGCGCGGCACGTCCAGTGCGGTAGTTGGTATGCTTCCAGCCAATGCCTGCATCTTGCTCGTGGATGCAGATACAATTGTCTCTGGACTCAGGCTGACCGCGATCGTCAGAGATAACGCCACTGAGATATTGAATGCTTCCCAGACAGTCACAGCCTAACTGCAGGTTGTTGGCAGTGGCTCCAGCACCAGCATCACCCAAGTCGAAGGCAGCTTTCTTGTGGAAGGGATGGCGCGGGTCCCCGTACGGCACACTCATCTCTGAGAGTGATAATCTGTAGAATAGCGGACGGCCATCATACTTGACATTGTATAGCACCATTCCTTCGCGCTGATTGAAACCTAAACACTCGGTGTTAACTACTCGTTCTGAAGATGTCATTCTTTCTCTATTCTTGGCTTACCGATAAAGAAAGTCCACTTCTGCCACTCGAGCACGTTCCCTGTTTCTCCAACAGGCGTGACGGTGAAGCTTGGCCCCTCGGGCTGGACAATCTGGAGAGGCTTCAGGTCCTTTCGGAGGGTTTGGGCTTCCGGAATATACTCGTTTGCTGGCTTGGGCTTGTACGGACTCAAAGGCTTGATTGTGTTGTCCGCGCCAGTTGGGAGAATGTCAATGCGGATAATCTTGTACTCGTTGCACTCTACCACAGGCAAAATTGGTAAGGGAAAAGCATAATGATTGGAGTCGGGCTCGGATGAGTTGTTTGGGTCTCTCATGTAGAGAAACACTTGATACAGACGTGCATCATCGTTCACACCATCAGACCCTGAAGATCGTTAGTAACATCAAATGTCTACAAGCGCTTGGTTTGGGCACACACCGTAGATCCAAGGGTCGGCGCAGACGACTGTGCCTTCAGGAAGCTCGAGCTTCTTGACCTCAGCAAGGACTTTGGGGTCCTCGAGAGCGATCTTCTCAACCAACTGAGCCTCATTGTAGTCAACGTTACCGTGAACATTGGCCCCGAGCTTGAGGTTGCTCTCAACATTTCCACTTGTCAAATTGACTATCGCTTCGTGGAAGAGGTCCTTCACCGGGGCTTGTCAGCATCAGTCTTGCAACAGTGATCAGCAAAATCTGTGTATCTATCGTACCGTTCCCCGAATGTAGTACGCAAGGAACGCCCTGCGGTCAAGAGGAGTAGCGGACAGTCCCTTGTCCTTTGCGGCCAGATAAGGCACCAATTCTCCTTTAGCGGGCTCACTGAGAGTCACCACCTTGAATCGAAGAGAAACAGATTCTGGCCAAGCAGTTTGGATCAACTGTGCCGCGGCTTGAATCTCCGCACCCGAGAGGGGACAGAGGGGATGTGGGACTGGCATGCTAAAGAGAGTTGCGTTGCTGGTGTACACAGGTCTGTTGATGAAGAGTCTCAAGGTGATTTTGTAAATGGTAGGGGAACTGAGAAGTCTTTATAGGATCTGGGGTGGATGTTGGCCGTCGTTGCTGGCCTCAAACCGCGGCGGAAGTCTCGTCCTTATCGGACCCCGTCCTTGCGACGCAAGTTCGGCGCAAGTGATCCACATTTTAGGGGTGGCGCTTGGCCCGCATGTCCCATCCGGGTATAAGCGTCCTGCAGCTTCTCCTCATGCTGTCACGGCATCTTGCCATCGCTTCTTATCACCAAGTACATCCCTGTCGGCATGTATGCCCTCGGGTTCCGGTACTTCAACTTTGTCTAATGTCCTTTGATACAATATTAGAGCTAGAGGAATAACCAGCTATCCTCCAGTTCCCAGAGATAGTTGAGCCAGGGCTTTGCCATTCTCTCCCGGCCATCTCGAGCCCAAATCCTTTCCAGCATCTCGATTGCGTTCCTTACATTGTAACAACACGAGGACACCCAAATATTTCTGAAGATTTCCCGAACCATATTCTTGAGGTCGGCCGCTTGAATTTCTGCTCCAATTACAAAGGCCGGCCACACCAGGCTTTTCACATGGAAGTCCTGGGCTGAAATTGATAGCATGTGGAGTATGGCGGATCGGGTTGCCTCGTCGAGATATGGGCTTGAGAGATGCTCTTGACCAGGCAGTGATCCGATAACATGAGAAGCATACACTTCGACTGCCGCCTTGTAGGCATGTGCAAGGTGCAAGCGCGACATGTGGTGTTCAGGGTCTGGGAAATCCTTTGCCCAAGCTGATGGCGAGAAATTCTCGAGACTTTGACACGACTCTATGGCTTTAAGTTGCTCCGCCCCAGGACTGGTCGGCGAGGGTGACCGCAAAGAGTTGATGACCGAAACTAGATACAGCAACTCTGCAGGACAGCCGACCCAAGTCTGGTCTTCGGACTGTCGCAAGGTCCTCAGGAGAGACGGATCTAGGGACGCTATTTGACGTGAGAAAGGGCCCTTTGCCGGTGCTAGTGTTGCGCCCATGATCCCAAATCTATTAGTGAAATCAGCGGCGGGCAACAAGGTTTGGAGAATGCCCTTACGTCGTGTATGCTGTGTCGAAATACTCCAGCCAATGGTTATATCCGAGATTGTGATTCTGGAGATAGGCTCTCCGTTCCTGGAGGATTTCACCAGCACCTCCGAGATGATGTTCCCACCCCCGACTACCGAACTCTACCACATCCATACAGACAAAGAGGACTATGGCTGCTACCGCGGCATCATTGTTTGTGACGTTGTCATCTTGTATCTCTGACTTTAGATAGTGCAGGGCCTTTTGCTTATGCGCCAGGGCCGTTCGCAGCGAGGGTGAAAAGTTTGGTTGGCTTAATTGCCAGTCATGTCCCTGTGACAGATGCCATAGTGAAGTATTGTCAACATCAAGAAGGCTACTTTCCGCACAAGGAACGTGCATCTGGTTGATGACCAGTCGGTGAGAGTAATGAAAGGCCGATATCGCAATCATGGCATGGGACAAAGCGTGGCTCCTGGGCATGAGCGGCATGAGGGCTAAGAAGGGATTGCTAGATGTCTGATAAACCACACATTCCTTGGACATTTCCATATCAACTGAAACATCCTGGGTTAGCGCATTGGGATGATTTGGTATGGGTCGCAACCTACAGTAGCGTATATACTTCCGGCAATCAAGAGACAAGTCTTGCAGGTCAGGATCGACGAGAGACCATGATAAATCAAGCGAAGACGGCAGTGGTTCAGGCGAAGTCTCCTGGGTGTGGCCCACTGCGCAGGCGTTCGACGGACGAGGTGCTTTTGTTATTAGATCGTCTCTGTGCTCTTGATCTGTACCAAATGTGACTTTCCCCATCATCTTTCCTCTGCTGGCCACACTATTGGTCCAGACTAACTTCTTCGGCCGGTCATATCCCTGGCACCGAAGCTTCAAGGAGGAGCAGCGAAGACATGTTGGGAGGAGTCTGTCACACTTGGCCCGCTTCTGCCGGCAAGTCCAGCACGAATTGGAGGCGTGGGACGCGTCTGGCATGACCGATGGAACATTGTTGGTTAACGGCAGGTGCTTCTGATGTGCGTTGTTTGCGTGAAGTTTGGTCCGGGTGACGGATGTGGAGGTGAGAGTTGGTATGGAGGCGGGGGCTTTTCTTATCAAACGGGAGACCCGGCGGATCGGGAGGCCGGCAGATTGTGCGATTTACACTAAACCGCATCAGGAAGCCAAGACGCGGCCCTGGTCGACCCCAGGTTTGTCCCTCACTTTGAAACTGGGGCTTCCAGAGGGGGGGTAGGGGTGGTGACTCTGGTTCGATTCTGCCTTTGTTTTCTGGGAGTGTCAATTACATTCACCAAGAAAAAATCGCCTTCCCTACCATTACGGGTCCATGAAACCCATGGCCAGTCAAATGCTCTACAAAGACGCAGTCAGCTCGATATCCACTGACAACCATGACTGGACCGAGCTTGGAAATAGAGAAGAGAAGAGAAAGGGTGGGGGGTTAAAAAAAAAAAAAAAAAAGGAAAAAGAGAGAGACGGTGATAGAAGCCGCATATCGCCGTGGCCTCGGCGATTTATATCGCTGCAGAGCAAATCCGACGCAGGATACAAGTTCAGGTAGAGCACAGCGATTCTTGCAGTTCCTGGCTGGTGCTAAAAGTGCCTTGTGGGCGACTGCTAGTTTCAATGTTGTTTCCCTGTTCACTATCTGATCTGGTCGTTGCCGATGTGACTGTAGAATGTATATTTAGCTGATTGAATAGTAAGTCTATAAGATTATTTTTCCTATTGTGCAAATTTCAGAAATCAAACAAGACTTACCCAAGGTTGCTCACAAGTTTTCATATTGAAGGTATCGTGGCTTGTGTGCTACTCACAGCTGATTAAACCATCTGAGACACCCACTGTAAACTCTACCTTCGGTAATGCTCGGTTTCTTTTGCAGGTCTTATTTTTGAAGCAAGGCAAAAGATCCCAAAAATGAAATTCGGAGATCTTTGCAAGCGATCTCTATGGTGTAATCTTCTACGATGAAGAAGGCGAGACCAATGATGAACGAGATGGGGAAGTTAGACAGAGAAACGTCACAGTCTTTGCTGATAGACAGATTGATCAACCTCCATGCAGTTTGGGTACCTGTTCACGGCTTGCTGTGCTGCTTGCTCAGGGTAAGACAGCAGCGGGTTGCTCCAGCCCAATACACCGGTCGATTGTTTCCACTCGCTTTCAAGCCGACATTACATCCGAAGAGAAAAGCCCCGTGGAAGGCTCCCCAGCTTGCGTTCCTCGCGTCAGGGGACACACCAATTGGTTGGCATGATGAACTTTTACATTGATTCTTTTGATCCGGTTTATCCCGGCTTTCTCCTCCGATAGAGATGATGCTTCCGTTGTCTACGGCGACTCCATGCCCGTCTTGTGGAGCTGTCCTCAGCCGTGCCGGACTCCAAAGCTGATCAAGTCATTTGTGTCGGAGACTTCTTTATAAAGCTTCCGTCCCGAATATGAACGCGGCCTACACCTACATAACTCGAATCAGTATCGTCGAGACAATTTCTTCACAACCTAGCTCAGCGATGCCGCGGTGGACCGTGGATCATGGCAGTCAGGTTTGCAGCATGTACGGTTTGTGCCAAAGGACCCCGCGCTGGAAGTCGAAAGCTTCGTGTAGCCGGAAAGATCGGCGACTGGCTGTTGAATGAGATCGATTAGATATTATCTATGTAGCCCGATGCAGGCGCATCTAATTAATCAGATTAGATTCACAGTCTCCTAAACCAAGGTCGTAGAAACACTATGATTCATGAACCTGCAGGAGCTATATCTAGTGTTTACAAGGCTGGCCTGCCAAACTGGAAACATGATGAGTCTCGAAGGGGCCGAAAAAGGTGGCAAAACAAACCAAAAAGCTTTCACCGGAAAACTATGTCCTCTGCATGGCCTAAAGTGAGTAGCGGCGGCGCAAGAAGTGGAAGTCCGCCGCGCCAATTAGCAATTTCATGCTGCGTGCGCAAAATTCCTCACATGTAGATTTGATGCAGTTCTAGCGTCCTTGTTATTGCGAGGGCACTGGGAGATTCCAGAAGTCAAAATCGCGGGCGTTGGCCTTGAATGACATTCTGGGTAGGCCAGACGTTATCAGATCTTGACGAGGGTAATTGGGTTCCATAAGTAGAAAACCGTGTAGTTTGAGGTAGCTGAGGATACAAGGAAAACGATGAATTCATGTAATTATTGACCGAAATTAGCTGAAATCAGCCGAAGACGCAGAGCTATTATTTCTTTTCTTGTTCTTGTTCTTCTCTCTCATCTTCTTTAACATTTGTTCAAACGATGCGATGTTAGAGCTGACGAATCACAGCCTAGAACAAGGTTTCATGGTTCCTCGGCAATACGACATAAACCCGCTCGGCTCGAGCGAGCGAGCGAGCCAAGAACGATTCGCGGTCAACATTCGTCAATCACGTACGTTTGAAAATCTCACGCCCATTCATTAACTGCGGCGTCATTGACAGCAATTGATCTATCATGTAAGTGGGAGCCAACGAAAAAGTGCATGCAACGTGCGGGACTTTCTAATGTCTGATGTGCGCTTCTTGATGTGGGCAAGCCGAGGTTGAGGCTAACCTCGATTGAGACGGCAGAAGAAAAGTTTGGTCCAGAAGCCCGGCTTGCATTTCCTTTGCATTGGCATTTTCTCTGTTGAAGATTGTTTCGTTGTCTAAAGTACCCAACATAAAAATGGCGAAGATGGACGATTTTGCGGCCCCAAAGAGCCCTCATTCAACGACAAGCTCGCGAGGAAGACGCGACAGCCGAGGCCAACTACAAGATGACAACGTAGTTGTCAACGAGGAGACACCGCTGCTCAAAGCCAGTCACTCCAACATGGCCGTTCCTTCATATCAGACTCCCGATTTGAGTCTTGTCGCTGAGACAGATGCACCCCAACAACCGGTGTCCTGGATGTCAATGCCAAAAAAGTGGCAGCTGGGCATGGTCGTCTTTGCACGTCTTGCCGAACCTCTTGCTGAGCGGTCACTGACATCGTATCTTTTCTACCAATTGAGGTGGCTCAGTCCTACTCTACCAGACTCGGCAATTGCAAGACAAGCCGGTCTTCTCACCGCCTCATTCGCCGCCGCCCAGGGTGTCACTGGCATGCTGTGGGGTCATGTGGCTGACAGTCCTCTGTTCGGTCGAAAGCGAGTACTCCTCGTGGGCTTGCTGGGAACCTGTGTATCGGCAATTGGAATGGGTTTATCTACTTCCTATGCCTCTGTGGTGTTTTTTCGTGTTCTCGCTGGAGCACTGAATGGCAACGTAGGCGTTCTTCGGACCATGATTTCTGAGATTGTCGAAGACAAAAGGTACGTGCAATCCTGGTTTGCTCTTTTCTCTTGAAATCCCATCCGAGAGTTACTAATACAGAACAGGTACCGATCTCGCGCTTTTCTACTACTCCCAATGTGCTTCAACGTAGGCGTCATTATCGGTCCTCTTCTTGGTGGATTTCTTGCCGACCCCATTGCATCTCTCCCCTCAATCTTTGGGCCGGGCTCCTTTTTCGGTGGAAAAGACGGCGTCGAGTGGATGGAGCGATTCCCTTACGCTCTGACCAACTTCGTTTGCTCAAGCATCTTGATGATTGCAGCCCTGGGAGTAGTTCTCGGGCTGGACGAAACACACCCGCTCCGGCGTCATCGCCGAGACCGCGGCCGGGACCTTGGGCGTTTCCTATTGCGAAAGGTCTTCAGAATGGAAACCCCGCCCAGTGACTATCATCTCATTGGCAACGGAAATGAGCCGGGGCAGCTCGTGGCCGAAGCAGGAGATGTCGAGGACCAATCTTCATCAAGCAAGCCAGTGGAGGAAGGCAAAGACCGAGCGCCTCTACGTGCTATCTGTACGCGCAACGTTATCTTGACGTTGGCACAGAACTTTTCCTCAGCTCTCCACGTCTCCGCCTTCAACTCCATACTGTTCGTTATGCTGCCAGCCCCCCAATCAGACAACACCAATGCTCAACTCCCATTTCGGTTCACGGGTGGTCTTGGTTTGTCATCTCAAAAGGTTGGTTTTGCCAACACAGTCATTGGGGCTGTCGGTCTTCCACTTCAAATCCTCTTATTCCCCTGGATCAGTAGCAGGCTCGGCGTGCTGCAGTCCTACCGCACATTTCTGCCATTCAGTGCGCTGGCGTACTGCTCGCTTCCCTACCTCGCGCTGCTGTCGAACGAGAGTCCGTTCTTGTGGCCCTGTTTGTCTGCCATCTTGAGTGCACAAGTCATGTCAAGAACGTTTGTTGGACCGGCAACGATCATGCTGGTCAACGATTCTGCTCCGCACCCTGCTCTACTAGCCACTGTGCATGGTGTTGCATCGAGCACTTCAGCTGCAGCTCGCATGCTTGGGCCTACCATAGGAGGGACCGTTCTAGGCTGGGGACTCAGCAACAACTTTGTTGGCGCGCCATTCTGGGGCATTGCGCTTGTTTCTCTCATCAACTGGTCATTACTTTACGTAGTGAGAGAAGGAAACGCCATTTAGTAGTTATCGGGAGTCAACATAAGGTACATGGTGCCTAGTAGAAAGCCTAGCACTAGAGACTGCAGGAAGCCTCCGCCTCTTGCATTGAATAGAAATAGAACGTTTCCTCTACCCGCGTTACTCCTTCTAAAGCATAGTACCTGGTCAACAAAAGTTTCAAGTAACCATCCGCTCATTTACTCCCCTCCCGCGCCACCACCTTTTGCTCATGTCACACTACAGACGCCGAAGGCTTCGGTAAGAGATTGAATTCAGTGACCACTAAATGTTCAAGTATCGGATTGCTTCTCTGAGGACATCGAGTTGAGCTACTCGGCAAAAACCCTCACTGAGATTGCCTTCTGTCTCTCCAAGTCAAGGTATCTAGAAGATGGTCCGCGTGGCAAGCTGTACAGGCCAGCTTGTGCCGATAAAAAGTCGCGACCACGTTGACAACCGTCTTCCTAGTACCTCACATACCTAGCACTAAGCCCAGAGGACAAGTTCTTTCTAAGTTGTCGGCACATGTAGGTAGAAGGGCTTGCAATAAAACGAGTACTTTAGGGGACTATTTTGAATCTAATCATCATCAGATCTAGTTCTTTACTACCAGGACTTGGATGATTCCGCTGGAGGCTCACTGCCCCCGGTCCCCAAATCGCAGGATTGATGATAATGCCCTGTCTTCTAGGCGATATGCTGGCGAAATTTGAGGCGGTAATAAAGTTCAAAGCCTTACCAATTTTGGAGGACAACTTGATTGCAAAGAGGGTCTGAGTAAAGATTAAGGCTTCTAGTGGGCATCTCTGGTTCTCTACTCAGACAACTTCGCTTAAGCAACTCCGACAAAATGTATCCATACAGACAGCGAGACAAACCTGCCTAGCTTCAGACGCCACGTGGAGGGTACTGGGAAAAGCCGATTCCAATGGAACGCCTTGAGATCCATTGATGGCCGGTGGGGTGTCCAGAGTCAAACTCTAGACCAAGCCCACCTTCTATTAAACCCAAGATGCAGGAACCAAGATCGGGGAGAATTTCGCCCCATGAAACAGGAAGGTTAAAGCCTGGAGCTATTACCCTTCAATCTCAACGGGAAGTGAAGAGATATGCGCAAGGTTGAGACATTACATCAGACACGAATTTGGTGTTGAGATCGTGCCTCGAAAGTCGAAACTCTTGCTTGTTGTTCGACTGGCATTCTGTGGTTTTTTAACCATGAGAAATTACAAGTCGTTATCTCCGTCTACCGGCCAGCAAGTTTGTCTGTCACTTGGCATACCCCAGAGGCAACAAAATCCACCTTTTAATAAGTCCAGCCCTTGAATAAAAACGTACAATCCGGCATAGTCCGCCCAATAGAGAGGTTTCACGGACGTAATACGGCCCCGCTTGGACCTCCGGACAGGCTCCGTGACAGGCAAAAGTCTGGACGGGCGAAGTTATGTTGACGCGGTGGCTAGCGGCGGTTTTTACTCGGCTTTGCTAGAAGAAAATTCTTGCATTCATCTGAATCTCTTGGGAGCCGAGCCGCAACGGTCTCCATCTTTTACATAAAAGCTCCTCGCTTATGTTTCTGAATCGAGAAAGGCTCCATCCAGGACCACCTAGCGGATCTCCTAGCGCGGCTCTAACATGCCATGGAAAGCTTCTTTTACGACATCAAAACTTCCTCACTGCGCCCTACGCAATGTCAATGTCAAGACTGGCCGAAGAACGTCCACTTTGGGACTTAGCAATCCAGAGCTGACGGGGCTATTTGACAGTAATGACAAAAAACAATTAGATCTTATCAACTCAGAAATGCATTCCCCGTGTTGCAGGGCGATCCGTTATCTTTCCCGCCCATGGGGGTGAGATCATTCTGTGGAGGTGGCCCGGCTTTCACCGGGCTATCGAACTGGCGACAACCTCTGTCATGCATGAATCCAGTCCGTCTACCACCATGTGGACCCTGAATCCATCTGACTCGCGCCTGTGCGATGATCGTTTAAAAGTCAAGAATGACAGACGCGTCGTGCCTTTTTCGCCTCCTCGAGCCCTCCTTTCTCAGTTGGCTTCTTCCCTCCCATCAACCCAACGATCCTTCAGCTTTGCCACGGTCGAAATACGTCTTCTCTCACCATGACAGACGCCATCTCCAACGCGGCCAACTACGGCAACAACAAGGGTTCCAAGCACAAGGAGGACGGTGCTGATGCCGAGATGGTTCAGCCCCCTAATCCTTGGCCTGAGATGAACGACCACACCATGCTCGGTGAGACGAGCGAGGAGATGAACAATGATCGCCTGAAGCAGATTGCGGCTCAGGGCAGCGCCCATTTCCACCGTCTGGGCTGGAAGCGCTTGGCGATTGTCACCATTGTCGAGGCTGTCGCCCTCGGTGCTCTCAGCTTGCCTTCCGCCTACCACACCCTCGGAATGTTCCCCGGCGTTTTCCTCACGATCACCATCGGAATGCTCTCGATCTTCACCAGTTACCTCGTTGGCCAGGTCAAGCTGGCCTACCCGCACGTCGCCAACTATGCGGAAGCTGGAAGACTTCTCTTTGGCCGCTACGGACGCATCGGATACGAGATTTTCGGAGCTGCCCTCGTTCTCGAGCTTGTCATGGTTGTTGGTTCTCACGCCTTGACTGGAAGCATTGCGCTCGTCGATATCAACGGCGGCCACGTCTGCTCCATCGTCTTCTCGGCCGTGTCAGCCATCATTCTTCTGATTCTGGCTATCCCACCCTCGTTCACTGAGGTGGCCATTCTTGGTTACATCGACTTCGTCTCCATCCTGGCTGCCATCGGAATCACGGTCATCGCCACCGGCATCCAGGCCAACAAGGGTCCCGGCGGTCTTTCTGGCATTGAGTGGTCTGTTTGGCCCAAGGAGGGTGTGACATTCTCCGAGGCCTTTGTTGCTGTCAGCAACATCATTTTCGCCTTCAGTTTCGCCATCGGTCAGTTTTCTTTCATGGACGAGATGCACACGCCTACCGATTACATGAAGTCTATCTGGGCCTCTGGCGTCATCCAGATCGCCATCTATACCCTTACTGGCGCCCTATGCTATGCGTTCATTGGTCCCTCGGTTCAATCTCCCGCCCTCCTCTCTGCTGGACCCCTCATCTCAAAGATTGCCTTTGGAGTCGCCCTTCCGGTGATTTTCATCTCCGGTTCGATTAACTCGACTGTGGCCCTTCGGTATATCCACGGCCGCATGTACAAGAACTCCCACTTGAAGTACATCAACACCCCCATGGGTTGGGCCAGCTGGATCGTCCTCGTGGTTGTGTTTACTATCATCGCGTGGGTGATCGCCGAGGCTATTCCCATCTTCTCCGACCTGCTCTCGCTGGCTTCGGCTTTGTTTGTTTCTGGATTCTCGTTTTACATCCCTGCCATTATGTGGTTCTCCCTCCTCTGCAAGGGCAAGTGGTTTGCACGCGAGAACATCCTTATCAGCCTTGGCAGTATCTTGGCCTTCATCGTCGGAGCTATTACATTGGTCGCCGGCACCTATTCGACCATTGTCGATATTGTAAGTTCTACCGCCTCATTGTATTGTCTTCCGTTCAAAAGCTAATATCAAAAAAGATTGATGAGACAAGCTCTGGAAGCGCTCATAAGCCCTTTGCCTGCCGTTCGTCTTAGGATATGGAACAGTGCTGTATATAATTAGTAATTAGTCATGAGAAGTCTTCAATGACTCCAATACGAGATACCCACGGCGTAGTCCGTTTCCACAACTGCATTTAAAATAATGAAACACTAATTCAGTTGCCAGGTGTTCTCTTACGTTCGAGGTAATATCGTGAGGCTATCAGGGGAGTAAAGGGCTCTGCGGTCATACCTCAAAGATGAAATGGCTCAAGTCTGGGCAGGTTTTGGACTGCCAAAAATCTTCGTCGTAATTTACCGCCGTACTTGGAGAGACCAAGCATTCAAGTGCATCTTTGAGCCGAAATCCGGGAGAGTCAAGATAAATCTTGGGCATCTGAACATGACTGCTGGCAATCGGACAAGTGTATAAATAGGCACAGCAGCCTAGGCATGCGCCGATTCAACACAGTCGTTGTCTAACCGTACATGCTGACAGTAGGATAAGGAAAGGTTTCTCAAATTTCAGATCACTGGCTAAGAAAGATCCCTGCCGAGTATGTGAGGTTCGTAACCTTAAAGTCCCCGTCTGAACTCTAACCCAGGAAGAGAGCTCCTTGCAGGATCAAGGTCCAAGAGAGAAAAGCCCGACCTACAAATCGGGAAAATTTGCGAGGAAAGCCGTTGAATCTTTGGAAATCAGCTCGCTTTGTACAAGTGGGTTCTACTTCATAGAATTGGTCTTGTATAAACATCGTGATACTCCTAGTTTGTCACAGGCTCCTGCTCGCTCTGTCGGCGAGTGTACCAGGCCTGGATCATTACACAACCACAAACTTCCCCTCCTTCAATTGATCATCCTGTTCGGCCCTATTCGGAGATCATGGTGCTGTCGTTAGAAGAAATCACATTGTTGAAGGACTACAGTTGACGTTAGTACTGCCCATACTAACGGCGGCGTTTCTGCGACATACATCTCTGTGGGGTTTTGGGGGAGACGCTTCGACTGTACTCCGTTGTCTTAGACTACTGAACGGCCCGAAATCATCCCCCACTCAGCATGGATGCTTGCGCAAAGTTTCTGAAACTTGGAGCATTTTCTTGGAGAGAGCACGGAGCGTTGCAGATGGAGATTATCCTGATGCATGCCGGTCACTACTTTTTGCTTGAAGGCTGCACAATAGAGTCGAACTGACCTGTTATGATTCCAGCATACTCCGGCATATAACACCAAAGCTCGGAAGTTACTCGCGTAATCCCTAGTACAGCGCCGAAAACTTAAAGGCACATCAGGTCATGGACACGAACCTTCTCGGCCCCACATACTGCCGTGGTGCAGTATTCTTGTCGTTTCTCCACATACGTACTGAGTTTCGAGACTGTACTCATAGCATCGGGCTCCAAGCTTTCACTGATTCAATTCGTATGATAGCATAACCGCTCATCAAAATCTTCGTGCAAATTGTCTATGCGAGGGAGAAGAACCTCCTAGTAATATCTTTATCACTTCACAGCCCATCATGATCTTGGCATTGAACTATCTGATAGAATCCATGTCAACTACCTCATGCTAGTGACTGCCAATCAATTAAGCGCCTGAGACCAAGGCCACGATTTGCCCCACCTTCACATTCCTCAAGACGCCAACCTCGGTTGTCAGCGGCGTTGGAGGCGGGCGCACCAACACGACCAAGCAGCAACTACTTTAGCAACACGACGACAGGCACAGATGCAGAGCCGACATGATTGATTACTGAACATCTAATCAATCAAAACCAGCGTCCAGCGTCGCATTATCATCCAAACTTCGGGTGAGTCATAGCAAACATATACGATACGACGGCTCAAGCAGTACTATTCAACATGTCCCACTCTTCTCTGGCCAGCACCTTACAGGAGCAAGTCGCGGTAGATGACTTGGGATCAGACCACTTTATCAGTCGCGTCAATCCCGCCCGCATGGGAAACGCGGCAAATATTGCGTACGGAGGTTGTACCATCAGTATCAGCGTTCAAGCGGCATGCAGCACTGTGTCATCCAAGTACCTGCTCTATTCAGCAACGGGTAACTACCTTGGCCCAGCGTTGACAGACCGCAAGCTCAAATGTGCCGTCCGGAGAGTTCGCGACACGAGAACGTTCGCCACCAGACTGGTTGAGATCAGCCAAGACCAAGACGATGGCAAGTCCAGGCTGTGCATGATTATGCTGGCCGATTTCCAAGTGAAAGAGGAGGCTTCTCTTTTGGTATACTCTGCGCCGCCGTCAATGAGCTATTCACCGCCTGATAAATGTCTTACAACACAAGAGGCAATCAAGGACAAAGTGCGGAGGGGCGTTGTGACAGAAAAGCTGGGAAACCTATTCCTGGCCACCTTTGGTTTCAACAGCCGCTTCTTCGAGACCCGCGGGGTCCCGGAGACAGTTTCACCAAATAACCTCTACGGCATGGCCAAGACTATCAAAACACCCCAAGAAAGCCTCGACTTGACATCAAAGACGTCTGCCGATTGGTTCCGCAGCCGACATCCCCTGGAGCGCCTCCAGGATCGGTTCTCTGGACTAGGATTCATTCTGGACGCAGCTTTGTCCTTCATCCCTCTGACCCACAGCAACAAGTTTCTAGACGACGCTGGCCCGTGCTCCTCCCTTGACTTTGCGTTGAGATTCTTCACCGGAGACATCGACCTGGATAAATGGCACCTTAGAGAGATGAAGACCATCGCCGGAAACGACGGCCGAACCTACACCGAAGCCCGGCTTTGGGATCAGCAAGGAAACATGGTCGCTACCATGAACCAGCAGTGCATCATGCGACCTCTCAAGAAAACTGCTCAAGCGGCTCTTTAAAGGCTCTTTGTATTGAGCTGTTCGGAGGAGGAGGCAGACGTGATATTTTGCGAGTTTGCGTGGTGTGACGAAGCGGTTTTTTTTTCAATGAGATTTGATTAGTGCGAAATTTAAGAGGAGAGAGAATTAGATGGCGAGGATATTACTTTTAGAAGATCTGGAGCAGAATCGTTACAATATAATAACTTGGATAAGACCCAATACTCCAGTAAAAATCCCACAATGCATCGCTGAAAGGCTACAACTACTTTGTTTTCTACTTGTTCAGACGCCGAACACCAGAATTTGCAACTTCCTTTGGTACAGAATCACGTGCATATCCTTGGTATCACCTAGAAGTTCGTCTTCGTGCCGAACACAATGAAGTTGATGTTGGGATGATCCGTCGAGAGCAGCTTTCGGATGTAAGGCTTATTCCAAACCGCTGAGCTTTTGCTAGGTAATTGAGGTTCGCACTTCTGAGTGGTTCTGTGTCTCGGATTTCAATTGTTTGAAGCCTGATTCTGTTCTGGCATTGACCTCAAAGCACGAATGTCGTTGGTCTTGTCTTCAAATATAAATGTTTATTGCGCATCTAGATGGATAGCAACACAAGTAGGGAAAACTCTTACTATTTCTAATCCTGATCCTCCACAATCTACTGGCCTGAACATACACCAGTTTGTTCTAGTGAGACAATTAGTGAGACCGATATCAGGAGACTTTATGTCATTGTCTTGTCTATTTCCCCGCTCCTACTATAATCGTTTCCTGATCCTAGTCCAGTCTGATGGGAGCAGTGAACGGAGACAGCTGTCTGGCGTGACGGAAACAGAGTGGTGAGACAATCAAGCGTAGAGGTTTGCGCCCGCAATGTGTGCAACTTCGGCACACTTGGGAACGCAACGTTCAAGTTATCGTTCAATGAAACCGGCAATCATTTCCAGTAATCTATTTGATAAACCCCGATCATCGGCTGGATACCAGCGGTGAATAGCGGCGAACTAATTGGAGATGTCGATAATTTTTTCCCGGCGTTGACGAATGAAGCTTGAGTTCCTTCCAGCAGCAGTGTAAGCAAGATATGCCCATATTGAGAGCGAGCTTTGGCAATTCTCTGTTGCCTTAGTCGGATATTCTGAGACTCGATATGCTTTTTGCAAGCTTGTGCCTCGTGATTTATTGCTTCTCGGCCGACATTGTCGTCACTGTCGTCAACAAGTTACTGAAGGCTGATTCCTGAATGACACAGTCGGCTTGCTCCACGAGACTACACCGCCCGTGCTCTGCTTGCTTATGATACACGGCCGTTTTCCTTCCACGAACAGCTGGCATTGTAACCAAAACCGATCGGCTGGACGCCTGCATCTGTGGGCCTTGGGAGTTACGTGTAGTTGTTGATCGACATACGATCACATGTAAACAACTCCTTGCGGGGTGTTGAATGTCGCACAGAAACAGCGAAGCTGCTAATGGTATAGGATGTCTCTTCATTGATGGATAAAAGACCTGATCTAGGTGAGACAAGAGTGGGCATCCAACCGGCCTGGATGATCAAACGCTTATCAAAATACACCTTTGGGGACTTCATTGGCGGCTACGTGGTTTTGCATGTCTCTTCTCCCTGAAAGACTATCGAGATCGTATTCCCGCACTCCTTCGTCGGCTTTTCGAGGCGGTATATCTTGTCTACGGCCTCTTTTACCCAATACTAATAGCACACAGGGGGATTAGGTAACGTTGCAGGTTGAGAAATGTATCAAACCGCCGATTCTTCCTCATTAGATTGAGTTCAAAATATCAGAACATGCAATCTGTTGCCTGAATTAGTAACTTTCATCCACTTCTACCCAATCATTACCTTGATACACGATCGCAATGTCGATAGTCCGTCCTTCTCTCCAAAATGTGTGCGACGGCTACACTTCTGGCTAGGATTGCATAACACTGGAGAACATCATCAGAGCTTTCCGGAGGCTCCAGCAACTTGACCCTAGTGACGAAGACTCTTTCTTCACCATCGCTGGCTACCATGGCGAGCCTTGGATGAAAGAGAATCCCTACCCCGGGGGATCGACTTATGATGACTGGCGTGGAGGCTACTGTCAACATCAAACCGTGTTGTTCCCTACTTAGCATCGAGCCTACCTCCTCCGACTTGAAGAAGCCATGCGTCGAGCGGTTCCCGATGCCCCAGATCTCGCTCTACCATTTCTGAACGAGTGTCGGCCCTTTGACCAGAACCCGCCTCTTCCCTGGATCCTGACCAATCCCACTTTCGATCTGGATGGAGATAACACCAACCCTCTTTACTCCTACAAGTTCCAAAAGGGAGTCGCAGACAATCATGAGAAGCCATCCGATGCTCAGCGATACAGCAAGTCGACGGGTTCACAGACGGCTCGGTACCCGCTTGCGGGTGTTGCTGATTTGAATGGGGATAAATCTACCAATGATCCAGCCAACCATCCCAGCATATTGAACGGCAATATCGCAGTGTGGCTGAATGGGAAAGTTCAACTTGGAAATAAAGCGTCTCCAACGCCGATTCCGGACACTGTATCCGTCGTTGCTAGGTACAAGGTCAGCCTCGATGCTCCAGACTACACTCTGTTCTCGAACAAGGCTTCCAGGGGCGAGTGGCTTCACAAAATGAGAGGCACATTGCAGAACAAGGCTCCGTTCAAGTTCCACACATCGCTCGAAGACCCTCACAATGCTGTGCACCTCGCCATCGGAGGCTTCTACCAAGGTGGGGAAGATAAGGCCAAGCCCATCGAGGGCGCTCACGGTGACATGGGCGAGAATGAAACCGCCAGTTTCGATCCCATCTTCTTCCTACACCATGCCTTCATCGATTATGTCTTCTGGACGTGGCAAGTCAAGCATGACCTTACCCAGGCGGGTAGCTTATCAGTGGAGTATGATATCACGGCGGGAACGCTCAGCGCAGGGAGCCCCGTCCTACCTCCGGGAAGCAAGCTGGGGATGATCAGTCCTCTTGCACCCTTTTTGAAGTCAGGCAGTGTCAGTGAACCTATGTTCTACACCTCAGACGACATCACCAATATCACCCAGCTGGGCTATGGGTATGGCGAGGGCTCCCTCGATCTTCCGACCAGCGGACCGGTTCTTGGTGATCCTGAACTTCCACTCCTCGCCGTTGCCCGCGTCAGCGGCATTAGCACCAAAGACCATGAGGGATCTTTTGTCATCCGCACCTCTGCTAAGCTTCCTGACGGGAGAGAAGTAGAGATTGATCGTGACGCCATTCTCGACCTCGCTGGGTCATTGCTAATTGCAAGAATTGCCAAAAGAACAAGCTTGAGACGTTTACATACATTCACTTTGGCGAGGACCTGATGAGAGCAATTGGAGCCGAGCGCAAAGAGGATATCCAGAGCAAGCTGACTGTTTCTGTCCAAAAACGCGGTCAATTTTCACCAGCAAAAGACTCTTTCGCTGTAACACAGCCGATGATCGAGATCTTTTAAGATTGTGTTGAGTAGAACATGTTGGCGAAGCAAAGGGTACCGTGGGAGATTATGAATCTGTGCCCAATGGTAGATTTTCGAGAGCTTGCCCTTGATTGAACCCAACAAGACTTACGTCGACAAATTTCGAATCTTGAAAGGATGCTTGACTGTATCCAAATAAGGCGGAGCATAAAAGGAATGTGAGATGATTCAGATTCTAGTTTCATCTCATTTGGGTGAACACTCTCTGGTTCGTCTTACCGAAAGGGCTGCCAAGCCCACAAAATGAGGTCTCGGCTACAGAATGAAACGTGGCCGAGGTGCTTTAGAGTTTACGAAGTTTTCTCTTCTTTCCTCTTCCTAAATACGAATACATTACATGAACAAGAGTACTATAAAGCTTGACTCCCCAAGAGAGGCTCTCTATAACAAGGGCTTCCTTCAGCGGTAAGCTTGGATTGCTGCCTGCGTGCCATTCTGGCACTACCTCCGGGCAACCTGGCACCCCGGAAGATCCGCGGTGGACCCACATCGGCCCGGCTTCATCGGAGGTGTTCACCGCGGGCAGCAGAAGTTTGTGGACGGTCCAGACACCAAGGAGAGTTTCTTGTACTAGGCAGCTAAGCTGGCTCTCAGCAATTATGTCACGCATGAGACGTACAACAAGCCCACCAGCGGCCGGAGTCCACAAATAGTTTCCGTGACAACACAGTAGCCTGCGGAAGATAATTGAGAAGATCGTCGCAACACGTCGACAAGGTATTTTGACACTGTGTACAAACCCACGCGAATAGAAAGACTGCAGCATTCCCTACAGCATGTGATGTAAGAGAAGATAGCCTGGTGGCCATGACTGTGTATATGTAGGTAGTGTAGAGAAACGGTCTGTCTGGCAGATGTTGGCTGACCCAACTCCTTCCGAGCAGATTATGAGCAGAGAAATCCCTACCAACAAGCAGAACATTGAGTCATACGATTGTACTGTATTTACTTCCTTCATTGCATTCATCTTAAATTGATACCCGAACAGAGCTCCGTGTCATTAATCACCTATTACTATGCAATCCAATTTCATTATCCACCAGGGCCTGAACGCCAATAACTACAGGAACGATCCGTTGGTAGCTCATCGCTCCCATTAACCTATTACACACTAAGAACTGATCCTCAACTCGTCGATCAGAGGGGACAGAAGAAGTCTAAAGTTCCAGGATGCAGAGAGAAATAGAAAAGTAGCCATAAAAGCTGGACACAAATCAGTTCGATGCGCCGCAAGTACCGAAACCAGCCTGGCAACCACTACCGCAGTGATCTGTCGTGGCACCGCACCAGCCATACTGCGAACAGCACGTCGCGCCGGGTTCACTGATGCAGGTGGTGCCGCCCTGGGTGGTGCCGCAGCGGCCGTTGGTGCTCAGAGGCGGAGTCGCCGTGCCAGTAGTGCCGGCCGCGGAGCTGGTCCCGGACGGCGTGGGGACGGTAGCAGTGGTTGCAGACGACGACGACGACGACGCCTCGAAACTGACGGGAACAGGTGAACTCGATGCTCCGGATATCTGGCAGTTTCCGTAGAGAGGCTGGCATGCCGCGCCGCAGTGGTCGGCCGTGTTCCCACACCAGCCAGCGGCGGAGCAGCAGGTGGCACCGGGCTCGGTGAAGCACGTCGTGCTACCAAAATTGGCACCGCAGCGGCCGTCAGTGGAAGCAGGGAGACTACCGGTAGGGGTTGCAATGCTCGAAGAAGTGGCAGTCCCTGTGGCCACGGGGGTGGTGGTGCTGCTGGACGGCGGGGCGTCACCGACGGAGCGGTACCAGTTCTCTTGGGGGTCGTTGAGGCAGTCACCGACGGTCACGGACTTGAAGCCGTTGCGGAAGAGGGACTCGAGCATGTGGTCTGTCAGGTTGTAGACGGTCTGATAGACGGGGTCGTGCTCGATTTGAAGCCACTTGGTGGTAGCGCTGTCCTTGCCCTCAACGCTGTCATCCCAAATGTCTTTGGAGTCTTGAATGAGGTCGGCGCTATCGTGGAGATAGCCCTCGGTATCGAGGTTGAAGTAGGTGATGTGATAACCCAAGTCATTGAGGTAGCCCTCGCAGGTAGCATCACAGGCCGAATAAGGGGGTCTACAGTTGGTTAGGCAAAGGCGCGTCATACGTGTCTGTGATGGTAATGGGCATACCTCATGTACGTAGGGAAGTAACCCAGCAGGTCGGCAAAGGCGATCTCGTTGTAAATCATCTGGTTGCGAAACTTCGCGGCGCTCACTGTAGTGAGCCTCTGGTGAGACCAGGTGTGGCTGGCAACCTGGTGGCCCTCGGCAATCATGCGCTATTAGAGATTAGTCATTGCTCAAGGCTGAAGTACAAGTGCAGACAAACCCTGATAAGAGCAGGCCAGTTGGTGGTTGGGTCATTTATCTTGCCCTTGCCCAGGTTGTTACCGGTAATGTAGAAGGTTGCCTTGGCGTTGTACGCCTGCATGCAAGTCAGCACGGCTCGTTGACAGTCACGTGTTGAAGACATACCTTCAGCTTGTTCAGCAGATCCTCGGTGTAGATATAAGGGCCGTCGTCGAAAGTCAAAGCGATATCACCATAGTGCTCGCAGTGGTAGATGGCCTGACCATAAGGGACAGAGCCAATCTTGGTACGGGGAACATTCGTCGTGTCTGGTCCATCGGGGCGGATGTTGGCATCGCATGCCGGACCATACTCGATCATACAGGAGGGAGCCGAGCAGTATAGATAGCCTTGACCACACCACCTGTCACATTGTCAGATTCGCCAGAGCTTTGGCTACATCATGCGTGAACAACGACTTACCCAGCACTCGAACAACAATAGCCATTGTCGCAGACCTGGTTGTCATAATCAGGGCCGCAGCGGCCGACAGACTGGCGCTTCTCCAACTCTGAGGCCTCAGGTACCGGCTCAACATGATCAGCACGGCGCTGAACCGCCCGGCGAGCTGCAGTGAAATCCTGCAATGCCCGTCTTCCAGCCATGATGTTTGGGACGGGCAACTCATCACCCCCGTGGGTACCGTGGGCAACAGCCAAGCCCAAGGTGGCGGCAAAAGCGAGAGTGGTGATATGCATTCTGGTGGAGGGGCAACAAGCCAGTCGGCACAGCGAGAGGATATACGTGGTAACGAATGGCTTCCCCGAAGATCAAAGCAAAAGAAAGTAGCGCTTAGCGAATGGAATTGGCAAGGCAGAGTTCAATGAAGAAGAAGCCGAGCCAGATTGGGACAATGTACACGATGCAGCACCGCACTCGACAACTTCATTACACCGTGGACCGGAAGAATAGCAAGTCAGACTAGAAGGTTCGGGGGCAGCCATTATTAAATAACACGCAAGTAGAAGCGTCTTCGGGTGAGCAGACCAGGCAATGAGCAGCCTGACTATGGGCTGAAAAAACAACCTTGACCTGGCGTGTCAGCGATCGGCTGCTGCAGGCTAGGCTAGTAGATGCCGGCCTCCAGCTCGAACAGGATGGGAGGAAATTAACCAGAGCAGATCAGCCCAGGCAGAGAACAACTCAGACACATACTCTGATGCTCCGCGTCTGGTGCTTGGTGCTGGATTCGTTCAGACAGGCGCGCGTGGAATACCTAGCTGACCAGGAGCAAGGGTGCCTTGCAGCGGCCACCTCTACCGGCCCAGGGGGCAATTTTAGTCACCTGCTTGCCAACACTAACTAATACGAGCCGGGGGAGGGTCATTTGTGAGAGAAAAGCAACTACACTGCACCGGCGAGGGTTTATATGGGGATGGTTCTAGTGCAGATGGCTGAATCAGATCCAGAATCGTGGGCAATCAACCCGATGGCGGCGAGGTGCTTTGATATTCATCCTTCAGACCTGAAAGGTCTGCCAGGACGCCACTTGGCTGGCCTTGCCTTTAGTTTTCGACAGCATTGACAACCTAGTGTGTATTCTAACGACTTGGCATCTCGGGTTCATGAGCCTGATAGGTGCGTCGAAATAGCCCAGCGCTGACAATATTGGAAGTGTACATGATTCTATGGCGTGCCTGACTGATGAAGTGGTGTACAAAGAGAAGTTGATTGAGGTACAAGATAATGCCAAAGGTCAGACGGCGTGAGCGCCGAGACCGATGAAGGTCAGCTGTTGGGGGGTACTGAAGAGGATGAGTGAATGGCGAAAAGCAAAGAAAGAATCGTGCAATATGAGACAACGAGATTCGAGGTTTTCACGCTCGCTTGTACTGCAACTGCAACGTGCCTTTGACTCCCTGACCTTGCCTTGCAGATTGGCCGAGTAACCAACGTTGGGGTAGACAATGGTATGATGATTTCTCGACTTGCTGGATCCTTCGTCGGATCCATTACCTTATTGCCTGTGCAACCGACACGTGGAATCGTTGGTTCGCGACTATCAGATGGAGCGTTCACGACGTCTCCCGCTTTTCTCATGTAGGTGAGATAGGCAGGATGAGCAGTGGATGATGAGACGCAGTCATAGTTCTGCAGCTGGTTAGTATTTGAATACTTATGAGGTAAGGAACCAGCTAGCGACATGGGCGTGAGAAGAGACAACACGCGAGAGGCAGGGGGGGGGGGAGGTGATGAGGATGAGAGGGAAAGTGGATAAGACGTTGATGAGAGATGCGGGAGAGAGTGGATGATTGAGAGTGCAGTGAACTTGGAACCGGGGGCGGAGAGCGGGGCAGAGGCGGAAAGGTGGGGCGATATCGAGGGGTTGTTCACTTTGCCATTAAGGGAAAGTGAATAATCTGAGGGGAGCCTCATGCGATAATCGAATGAGACACCCTTGCACCCCTTTATGATGACGAACCCCGCTAGATGCTGGCTACCCCGCGGTGAGCCAAGGTCTAGGTAAGGTAGGTACCGCAGGGTGCAAAGGTAAGCTGGAGCCAAAGCTAGGTACATAATACGCGCTCCAGCGTCTGCCACGTCCCACAGGCGCCCCTGGCCTGCCGCATTATTGGCTTGGCAGACTTCGGTGTGTGTCTGGCTACCATCGGAATGGGCTGTCGTTGTCCTGTGCAAGTTGAGAGTTGTGAGCCTACGGCCACAATTCTCTCCCGTCGAGGAGGCCCGGCAGCCCATGCTGGAAGTAGATGGCCCCTGGTACTGGTGACGGGAGCAATGATGCCTTTCAGAGCATCTCTGCCGGGCGACGGTCGATGACAGCAGCCAGGGGTCGGGTGAGGCAAGCATTCTGGGTTGTGCTCGACACCCTCTTTCATTCTTGAATCTTTCCTGGTTTCTTTTGGCTTCGCTTGGCCTTCCGTTTACGAGCACCGTCAGCGTGGCCATGGCCGTGACCGTTGTCTCCTGTGCGTATCAGGTCTGATCTAGCTCTGATGTGACTCTCACGGTGGCACTGGCGAGCAAAACCACCTTCGCCGCGTTGCTCATAACTGGAAGCCACCCTACTACCTTAGGTAGGTAACCTTGATGCCTCCCAGCTCAGAGCCCCTTATGTCGGGAGATGATCCGATGCCGGGTTGACAGCAACGTCGGCCGCCATTGCAGTGCCTGCTGGGCAGTTGACTGCTCCAGTTTCGTGCAGACACGGGTTTGCCCAGACTTTAGAGACAACCAACCATGTTCCTGTTTCGTCAGCTCTTTTCCCACTCTCCAGCCTCCGTCTTCCCCGTCGCCGTCGGGCACAGCAAAGATTCCGAGAGGGGAAGGGAAAGCCTGATATTTTGTCAAGTTTTATTTTCAGGGTTCACAAGTTCATCATGGCACCGCTGGCTACGGGCAATAATAAGCTTGACTCCGGGCTTGTACCCGTCGAATTTAGGTGTGGGGTGTGATGCCCGCCCCCCCTCCTCAACCCCCCTTTCTCTCTCAGAAAGATTCCTCGCTTCGCCCAATTCTGCACACACCAGGCACGGCGCAATGCTGCATCACGGCACAGCTGAAGCTTCGTGCAGGTCTGCTCGCAATTCACCGCATTGAGTCGTACTCACACAACAGAAGTTGGTAGAAACAAAAATGAAAAAAGGTACCAGGATCACACATGCTTACGTGAAGGCGAAAAGTTTGTGTCCCCTTGCCAGCAGTCTTGGATTCGACCAGGAGGCTGATGCCAAGAACCTGGGAGGATATGATGCCACTGACGACGGTGGCATGAAACGAGGCCCAATTGGCAAGAAATCAGGGACTGTCCGTGTCTTTCTCTTCCCTCGCCCGTATTTCCAAAGCCATACCGGGCATTGACAGTTGTGATACGCCAACTACATTGTCCAAGACATCCTACTCCCTATGTGTTATCAGGAACGACTAAGACAGCCTACCGGTCATCGGGCGTCTGATGGTGCGATACGATGTGATCCAAGTAGACCAGGGTAGAACGGAAGCTTGCTGGTTGTCGAAATTGCAGTAAGCTCGACTGTTTGTCAGACTTTGACAACAACTTTCGGAAGAATGCGCAAATTAATATTTGCGGTTGAGTGGAAAATTTTGAAAATTTCTGTAGCGAGGGGACGGAGGTCAACATTCCGGGGCATCTGTGGGAGGGATGGGTCCCGGTCCGGATCACTTTCCCAGCGGCCCTCCCAAGACCTTGTCAATTTGGGCCCAGAGGTCCACTGTGGTCGGTGTGATGGACAGGCAGGATTTGAATGAGTGTCAACTTTGTTCGTATTAGTCAAGGCACCATCGTCATGTAGTCTTGGTCCACCGCCTCTATCTCTCTCCTCAGATCTGCGATCTCTCCCCGCGACGGAAAAAGCGTTGCTGAGTCAGGAGCCACAAGGGAGGATTTAGAAAGCGGACACCGCCCCCAGCGTCACTCCCAACGCTCCATCCTCATCGGCAGGCAGCTCGGGAATTGGCGTCGGACTCAGACGGTAGGGTTATTCGGGTACCTGTTCTAGCGCTGGCGCTTCTTAGAAGCTAGAGTCGTGGAAATAAAGCCATCACGTCACGATTTTAGGTGTTCTACCAATGTATCGGAACACAAATGCCCACGGCCCCTTTGGCCGGGACCATGAGCATACCTACCGGCGCTCACCATCGCTACCTTGATGCCAGGCCTGGACACTAGCTGCTAGTTCATTGGAACTCGGGCGGCGCCAGCGCTACTCCCCTCGGTCCCCACAGCGGCCCGGAGACGGTATGGCTTGGTGCTATTCCCGCCTTATCACGGGCTTGGGTCTGAGGAGCACGGTCCAGCGTGAATCTTCGCCGCAGGGTGATTGAAAATTGGAGTATGGAAGGGGGGGCGCCCTGCGTAGTCCTGGTCTTCGCCCCAGAACTCTTGGAACGGACTGAAGTGGCTGGGATTTCGGAGACGAGTAAGCAGTTCGTCCACCAGAGGTAGTGATTCTGGCTCTGGAAAGCACCGACGTTGGTCGGGAAGCATGACAATGCCAATCGCTAAATCGCAACACCAAATACCATTTAATCACAGACACTGCCTCAATTTCACTGTTGGCGCGTCTTCAGCTGGTAGATGTCAACGCCACAATTCCCACCCCGATCAATCATACACTCAATTGGCCGTAGTCGGCGTCTTTCTAGCTCGAACACACCTAGCGCCAGGTTTTCCATCCACCTCATGACACATGGCAAGCCACAGAGGTTCGCGCTGTCCAGAGTTTGATTTGGACCATCAGTCACACGTGGATAGACACACTATCGACTTGGGTAAAAGCTGATCCATAGAGACGGACGGGTGGGTGACGGAATACCACGCGTCAGGGATTTTCAATTATTGTCCAGGATGGGAAAGCTATCTTTGCTTCATAAGTCATTTCATGTAGCCATCAAACCTAAACATTACATTAAGAACAGAGAAATAAAACATGAACAAAAATAATGTCGTCTCATTGAAGGGAACCCCTCAGTGTCGGAAATGTAGCGAGCTGTGATGAATCGAAACATCACCATTCCTTCCCCTCTCTCCCCAATGCCATTTGTGTAAGAGGTCCCGAATATGTACGAACTTTCCAGCTCTCTCGAGGTATGTCTTGATGAAGGTGGCTGTACCGTTTGTGCCCCCTCCTCCCCCCCCTCTCTCTCTCTCTGTGTGTGTGTGTGTGTGCAAAGATGAAAGAACCAATCCCAATTCCTTCACTTCCCCATCTCCAACCCG